TATGCGAGTAAGCAGTGGACACGAGCATGAGAGCGTTCTGCTGTTATGGTTCAGATATGGTGCATCCCCTGAGCTTCATGTTAAAGTCTTGATCCCACAGCCATCCAGAGCTGATGGACCTTGGGGAAGTAAGCAGCTCTTGAGAGCTCCAGTTTCATCACTGGACTGATCCATTGATGAGATCATAATTTGATGGTATTATTGGAAGGTAAAAGAAATAGAAGATGTGCTTTAGTTGAAGGGAGCAAACAACTGGATATGATCTTGGGATCTGTGTCTGGTCCCTGATTCATTCCTCTTTCTGGCTCTTTCTCTCTCCTCTCTGCTTCCTGGCTGACAAGCAATGAGCAGTTTTGCTTTACCAAACCCTTCTCCCATGATGCTCTGCTGTATCATAGGCCTAAAAATAATAGAGCCCACTGATCATACACTAAAATCCTGATCCAAAATAAATTTTTGCTTCCTTTAAATTGTGTTCTCAGGTGTTTTGTCACAGCAATGAAATGCTGATTAACATATACTCCTGCCATGCTATGCAATGTAACAAGGACATGTTAAGGGCTCTGTAATATATTTTTAAACACTTGGAAGAGAAAACAAATGGTATGCAAATAAATTACTCAAGAAGTTAATACAATATGCCATTCTAAACTTCATTTGAGAATGTCTCTTAAAATTTCAAGAAAATTTCAAGTGAAATTTAACAGATTTCTAACTCAGACACAGCAACAGTATATTTTCTTTGTCACCTTTACATTTATGTACTTTAAAAATTGACTTAAAATGAATGATTCATGAAACAAAACTGGTAAAGACAAACTACGAAATCAGTAGAAATGATTTTGAAATTGAGAAGTAAATTGTAGCACAGTTTTCAGGTTATATCAAAAAAAAGAGGAATTCAATATGAGAAACAGATTTTGAAAAGAATAAGTAGGCATTTGAATTGTTTGGTGACTCAATTAACAAGAAGGAAAAATCATATGACCACATTGGGAGAATATTAAATTTTTTGTTGATTTAACACAAAACCTCAAAATTGATGGAGAGTACATGAAACATATTAGCCCGCTAAAATGAGAACTTAACGGCAAACTGATTAATGAGTGGCATTGATTCAAACATTAATTACTGAACAATGGTGTAAAACCCTACAACTTGCATAAGAAGGAAATTTAGTGCAGATTTTCATAAATTTGACAAGTTATAAAAATCGACATGATTTTGCTCACAATACACTGTGAAATAAAGCACTCTAATCTGTCAATAATAATAAACTGTTGATCAATCCATGTCAGAAGAAACTAGAAATTATCTTTGTACTCTCTCATTAAAAAATCATAAAAATCAGTGTCATATGAAGAGATAGCTAAAGACTATGCAATCAAAAAGGCAGGGGTAAACAAACAAAAACACTTTTGGTGCTCTGGGTACTTAATTTATACAAACATTATGTTACTTTCTAGATGTTAGGATATTTATAGTTTTTTGCCAGACTTTTTAAAGTTCATAATTTGTTGTGATTTCTTTTTGTTCTAAATTTTTATTCCCATAATTAATTCATATTAGTCATTTTGCACTGCTTTTCACAAGTGGAACTTCCAAACTAGGTTAGTTTCAGACCTAAGAAAGCCAAATTCCAGCCCTGATAAGTAGGGAGGTAACCTAACCTTTTGCTTCTCTGCGAAACTTGGCTGGAAAATACAACCACATCCGGAGGGGCTGAGGAAAATGCCCTTATTCTCACCTCCCACCCTGTCAGAGCCAAACTCTGCTGGTCCTCCCTTGCTACCCATGCTTGTTCATCTTTTCTTCCTGGCATTTTGCTTGTGCATTGTTGGAGTCTTTTTCCTGCTGCTTGGATCATCAAGCTGTCTTTTCCCTCTTCACCTGGCTGGCCTCTGTCCCATTTCATTCCCTGCCCAACCAGCTAAGGGATGAGAACAATGGAGAGGGGCAGGAAGCTAAGGATATCAGAAGGGGGCGGGTCCAGATTCCAGCCCCGCCTCCAGCTGCCTGCCCTTCCTATCCTAGCACAGCACCAACAGAAGTCTTAGAAGGAAGCCTGGATTGCCCACCTGGTGCCAGGAGGCAGCAGAGGAGCTGGAGAACAGCCCAGCAGTCTGGGGCTAAACTTGGCCCTGACACTGATGCCTCATCCTCACTAGTCCTTCGAGCCTTTCTGGGTCTGCCATCTCCTGGACCCCCACGATAGTCCCCAGGCTGGCTGAGGTGGGAGACAGAGGAAGTTTGACTCCATGATGAGTAAACACATTTAAAAAAGAGAAGCCTGGGAGACACAGTGCAGCAGAGCCCTTCTGGTTAGAAGGAAATATCTGTCTTCTCACTTAAGTTTGTCTCTGGGCTAGGAGCAACAAGGAAGCCCTCCCATCCTCCAACTGCACTGAAATGAATTTAGGAACCTGTACTTCCAAACACTGGGATCAAAATGCTGAAGCTGGGTGAGGAATAAGAGGACTGGAACCAGGATAAGTGTAGCTAGGCCATGGATTTCAAATGAGGAGTTTCCACATTCCTGGGAGGAGTACGTGTTCCATGCCTGGGGTTAAGATACTGTTTTCTCCTCAGCACCACCACCCCCATTCCTGCTTAGGTTTTCTCTGAACTCTTCTGCTGAGTTCTGGGAATGCTTCAGAATAGAGACCCCCTCCTTCTCTTGGATGAATCTCCATTGTCCTGCATAGCCTCTGCTTCTAATTAAGCAGTGCCCATTTGGTCCTCAGTATAGTACAGTTTCCTCTAGAAGTAGTCTCATCTAGGATCCTTGGAAAAAGCTTGTCATGTTGTTCTTGGGAAAGTGGAGAATGATTTTGGAGCCAGACTAGATGCCTAGGCCTGGTTTCCTGTCTATAGGGTAGGGTAATAGCCCCCCAAATGAGGTGTTTTGTGGTTAAAGCCAGGCTTAAAAATCAGCTTACAGAGTGTCCCATTGCTTTCTCCCTCTTCCTTTCCCCTAACCATAAGAGGTTTTTATGTCTGGGGGTGGAGGGGCGATGGTCTTTGTCCTTAGCGTAGCATAAACAGCACTGAGAATTTCATCTGAAACTCTAGGCTGCAGAGATGCTTGGAGGCTATTTCACTACCGGCCCCCCTCCCCACCTTGTTCCCAGAACACTTGAACTCTCCAAACTGACCCAAATTCTTTTTAAATCAAGGTAGGGCTCAAAACATAAATAAATACTTACATGTTCATTTTTTTAAATCTTATTTCTTAACGACTTTCAGGCCTTCCTGCTCCAGCCTGAGACATCCAGCTGAGAGTCTGAAACACAGGCAGAAATTTGGAACTAGCATAAAGTGTAGGCGTGGATGTAGCCTAGGGGCAGGGGCAACAGGGTAGGAATAGAAGGGGTGCTTCTGGAGGTGCTTGCAACCAGAGGCCTTGGATCTAGAGAAAAGAAAATAGGGAAAGAGGGAAGGGGGAAGAGAAGAAGGCACAGGACTGAGGACTAGGGGCAGTGTGCCTCTCTCTCCCCCAAAGGCTTCAGGCCAAGAATGAGAAGCTGAAAAACTAGAGTCATGACAGAGAGAGCCCAAGCTGGTCTCCACCACCCTTCCTACATTCCCACTTAGTAGATTCCTCCTAGACCACAGGAGAGACAGTAATGAATCTGCAGCCTCTTTGTCTGTCTCCATCCTCCTGCCCGCCCAGGTCCATGGGCCAGCCCTGCCCTGCTGTCCTCGACACGCCTCCACATGCCTGGCACAGCTGTCCCTCCTACGTGACCAACAGGGCTGTGGCCTGGGTGCCGGATGCTGAGATAAGGCCAAGGAGGGAAAAACCGCCAAAGCCAGGAAGTTACACAGCCTGGTTCCCCTGGCAACCCCACCACAAATAATGTAGAGGGTGGGGGGTGGGTAGGGACAACTGCTGTTCATGCTCACTCAGGCCAGGGCCCTCCTGGACCTCAAGTTTTCTTGTTGGAGAAACTTCTCTCCAATCTCTTTGGACAGGATTGCCTAAAGATGGATGGGGAAATTTGTTTTAAATGGGAATTCAATATACCACATCCTGCAGCTCCATCCCAGGCTCTCTTGGTAGGTCTGATAGGTTTAACTGGAACTTCATTTTAACTAGCGTCCCAGGTGGCCGTGATGCTGGCAGCCTACGACTGTTTTATTTTGGTTTTGTTTGTTTGTTTTTTGTTTTGGAGGGAGACATGAGACAGAGCCTCACTATGCAGTCCAGATTGGCCTTGAACTCACTATGCAGCCCAGACTGGCCTCAAACTCATGATGATCCTCTTGCCTTAGCCTCCAGAATACTGCGATTACAAGCCTATGCCACTATGACCAGCTGGACTTTGCTTTGAGAAGAAGATGTACTTTAAGAAGTTGGGGTTCCTTGTGGCAGGGTTAGAAGAAGATACAGCATAAGCTCCAAGGTAACCCAGCATCCTGTGTCCCTGGGGATCTGCAGGCAACCCCATTCTCAGGGATGCTTGACTTACCGACATTTTTGACACCAAATGGGTGACCGGGAGTCTAGGACGTGTACAGCCCATTCAAAACCATGAACTTTGAGCTTCTGGGTCCGGCACTATTTGCACTGAGAACTGAGAGCCACAGGAGATACATGCTTTCTACTCTCAAAAACCATGGGGCTGGGGAAAATCACTTACTGTCTTGCTTGGTTTTTCTCTTCTCTCAGAAGGGTATGACAATACTAAAGCCTTACCAGGGAATGACAACCTCCCAGGGATTAATAGATACAGAAGTACCTTGAAAGCGCGACTCTTGGATATTGTCCCAGTGGTTGCCCATAGCTTTTGTTGCTGGAGGTAAAAGTGGAGCTGTCTGAGGGAGGTCAAAGAAGATCAGGGAGCCCTGAAAACAGAAACTCCACGCTGCAGGATTCAACGTTGAGCCTCAGGAACTCTTCAATTCTCTCTATTTGACTGGAGAGGTGGCTGCTGCAAGAGCTGACTTCCTGTACCTCCTGCCAAGGCTGACCTCTCCCTTCCTCCCTCATGGTCATGGCCTCCAGGGACAGGAAAACCGCAGCTCAAGTCATCTGCAGGATGAACCCTTCCCTGGGGTGGGCCATCTCCTAGAGGCGCCCCAGGACAGAAGGAGCAACAGTTTGGTCTTCTGTTGCTTAAACAGAAAGTTCAGTCCACTCATTGAGGTGAGTTCAGCAAGTTGTTTTTACTCCATTAGACTCAGTGTCCTCATCCATAAAATGAGAGGCATTAATATTTTGTGGTGGTGTCTGCTCCTTCACATGGGCCTCCTGTCCCAAGCAGAGGTAACACCATTTCTTCCACAGTCTGTCTTAACTCCTCTCTCTCACCTTCATTCTCTGCAGTCAGAGAACACTCAGTAACTTGGAATGTCACCCTCTCCTTTCCCTCCCCACTGTCCTGCCCTTAACCCACGCTACCATCCTATCAGCCAGGATTCCTGCAGACATCCTCATCTGCCTGCCGCAAGCTTTCCCAGTGTTAGGCCACCCTATCCTGAAGCCTTGCAGACTTGCAAAATAAAACACAGCTCACAACTCTTCATCTACCTCACCCTCCCTCGATGGTTTCTCTTCCTCTCAGTGAAATAGATGAAACTGTTAACTTGACTTTGAACTCCTTTGATGCTCCCAATTGCATTGCTCAACACCACACCCCTCACGCTTCCACACATAGATGTGCAGTCCAGTTCTGCATGTGGTCACCTCCGGCCCATGCACAGGCCACACCACTGCACTGGACATTCTCCTCACTGGGGCCAATGTCCCCTTCATGCTTCCAGTCACTCTTACATCTTCAGTTATGACAGTATCGTTCTCCAGACACCTTCACTGTACACGGGCCTCCTTGTGGGCACTATGGTTTGTGTCTAGATGCCCCAAGCCTCCAGAAGTGGGGCTTTTTCAGAGGTAGATGAATCCAGAGTATGTGATGTATTCCTGGTGCAATGCTGGGACTAAGGGTGTTAGGATTAAGGGTAGGTGTTTACTAAATCAGTGGTTTGGCACCACCCTAGTCCTGTAGCCTGGATATAATATAAGGAACAGAAACAACAGTGTTTGCTGCCTTGTTGCTTCCCTACTTTCTGCTGACCATGAACTGTGTCTCCTCTGATTAGGGACTGAAACCTCTACAAACTATGAGCTAAATAAATCTTTCCTCTCTTAACTTGGGAGTGTTGAGTATTTTGTCTCAGTGGTGAGAAAAGTAACTAAGACACACATTCTATGTTGGGTTATAATTGATCTCTTGCTTTTTTCAATCTTCCCAGGAAACCAAAGACTATGTTTGTCATGTTACCAGCCAGACCCTGCAGGACCAGACAGATGTCACATCCAGAGAAGGTGCTCAAGAAATAGTTTTTGAAATTAAAAAAAAAGCAAATCCAAATTATAACGGAAGCTCCTAGCTCTGTGACACTAGCATCACGTCAGTCATCATGCTCATTGTCATCAAATGAAGCTCAGAACCGCTAATAGAAAACCAGTTCAAGGTAAGGTCCTGCCTAGAGAAAGTCATGCAACAGCTTCAGTGTCAGAGAGGATGTTTGTGCAACCTCTCCTCACCCATCTTGAAACTCAGTTATGTCAGTCCATCTTTTCATGCTTTCTGAGCCCTGCTTCTCAAAGGGACTCAGTCCTCTTTGATCAGCCCTCTTTCCCAGAGAGGAAAGAGGAAAGGACTAGTACCTTTCTCCCTTGACTGAAATTTGATCTCTGACCACAGAGCCAGACCCTAACAGGCTCCTCTGCTCCCTTGGGCATATTAAGGAGATAGTCCCTAAAATAGATATTATCTCTCAGCGACATTCAGGAATTCACACAGGGCCTTTCCCCAGAGGCACAAACCACTGATTCCTTGAATCACCACTGAATCTCCACAGTTCCTATCCAGGTTTTATCTCCCTACAGGACCGTACAGCTAGGAGCAGTGATCACATATCAGAATCCTCTGCTCTTACAAAGCCCAACATAGAAGACAACCTCGATAGTTGCCAAAGAACATATGAATGAAAAAACAAAGATGTATCTGAGCATTTCCGGGCAGAACTGCCCGTTTTCCTCCATTTAAAAAATGTGATTTCCCCTCCTTATTGAAGACATTCTTTCTCACCCTTCAGAGATCCCAGAGGCTAATAACCTTCGGAGTCAAGAGGATCTTTTTTCCTTGTCTAACTTAAATTTCTCAGGATGCTATTTGGACCACTGGGATTAAAACCCACCTCTTTGCAAGGAGACAGTTACTAATTTACTCTGTTAGCCTTTTGTTCCACAAATTTAATCCTAGACCCTTCACTGTTCTCTCCTTAGGGCCCTATTGTCCAGTTCTTTCTCTTTTCCATTGTTCTTGGGCCTTTTGCCAAGATCTCAGAGGCCTCCTTCAGCTGCACAGGCAGGAATGGGACACACTGTCCTCCACACATGGGTGCCTACACACACAAGACCAGCACCTCTGTGTACCTATTATCCTCAGTCCTGAGTAAACACACTCCCATGCAGCCCCCTCATGGTCATGATTCATGCTCTCCTACCTGCACCCACCTGCACCCTACGCTGGGTGGATTCTCGCATACCTGGGGGCACATTTATGGGCAGAGGAATAGGCTGCCCAGATCCCTGCTCTTTACCTACAGGCGAGCCACAGGGGCAGAATGAGCCAAAGGGGCAGAGAGAGCCAAAGGGGCAGAGCGCCAGAACCTTCTTCCTCCTTTTCCCTGCCTCCCTCCACAACTCTGCTTCCCATTGGCCACTGTGGGCCAACCTACTTTACCTCCACCTCCACAGTGATTTTCCACTTCGAGGCTAAAGGCAAACAACAAATGAATGAAATTGGTTCCTATCTCTTCCTCCTGCCTTCCTCTTATTCCTGCTCCCAAATCCTCAGTGTAGCTTCCCCAGGCTGCCTTCCATTTTCTTTCTAACCTCCTCTCTGCTAGCTGGCATGACTGAGGCTTCTTGGGTTTTTACCTTTGGGAAGTGAACAATGAGGAGGTTTGAGGTTGTCAGGTGAGGCAGGTTCCACGTCAGATCCAATGACAGACTGGGTTGCTGAGACCCTGGGCATGATGTTATCAATCCAGGGAACTCAGGAGAATGGTATGAACACTTATTCATTCAACAAATAGTTCTCCTGCACTTGCACCTTGCCAACCACTATACCACAAGTATAAAACCAACAAAAGCCTGCCTCTGTGCAGTGTACATTCCATGGGCAGGGACAGGAGTAAATAAAACATGCTGGATAGCAATAAGGGAAGCCAGGGGAAAAGGGTGAGCCATGGAGAAACCTGGAGGAAGATTTTTCCAGAATGGTTCTGCAAAAGGACTTCTATGAAACACCAGTGTAGATACCCAAAAAGAAAAGGGTGCTAAGGCATGACCAGAAGAGGCGCCTGGATAGATAGGAAGAGCAAAATTAGAGATGAAACTGTGACCTTGGATGGGACAAAATGCTAAAAGAAAAAAAAAATCAGAAAACAATATTTGGAGATGCCAGTGGAGGCCAGGAAGGAGCTGAACCCACAGTGTGATGGCCTAGGAGATGCAGCCGGAGAAGAAGTGCCTCTCAAAGCCAGTTAGTGTTTGCCATGAAAATGTTATTCTAGTAGACAGGGCCATCTGAAGTTTCCTTGAGCAAGTTCAGCAGGGCATTATCAGCACAAACCTTTCTTGAACAACTTCTGCATGATGGCAGTCTCTCTGCCAAGACCTGTCCCTGTGGGCCAGGGGAGCCTCACGAGGGAGCGTATTCCTGTATGTTAGAGGCCAGGACTGTTGTACCTCACCATGCCAACACCTCTGCTCCTCCAGTCCCTCCACAGCCCCACTTCAGACTGAGCCAGCCATAATACAGGCTCAGTTGGAGGCTCAGCACACATCGACCTGGACTCCTCCAAACCCTGCTCCCCCACTTTGCTGGTATCTGGCCCTGGACAAGCTCGTGGCCCTTTCTGAGCACCAGTGTCCACCTCTGGGGATGAGGGTGACGGTGCAATAGTATCCACGTGGGGGCTGCTGGGAGAAGGCAGTGTTGGCATTGCGGTTGGCATATGTCTCAGAGAACTATCAAGTGTGTGGCCAATAATTTGTACCCATAAGTAGTTAAATCAGGGAAGACTGCAAGTTGGTTTGCTTTCCAGAATAAATATCAGTAAATTCACCATTTTTCTCTGAAATGATCTTTCTCCTTTTCTCTCTCCTTTCTACCCCCCCCCCCCAACATTCCACAAAGCCTTCTTGAGTGGGACATAAAGGGGCGGAGTGATAGTTAATCCCCTGGGAATTTGCTCAGAGATTGCAGCCAATCTTATCTGTGCCACAGCCCTTGGGAGTGCAGCAAGCAAGCAAACAGAACCTCTCCCAGTGTGGTATCAAGCCAAGGCCGGGAGCCGCCGTGCAGACAGCTCTAAAAGTGGCATGGGACCTGGCATGTAGTAAATGCTTCTAGGAATAGGCAGCCACAGTGGTGCAGGGGGGTCTTTTGGGGAGGAAAATGAAAGCTCTTTGGTTTCAAACCCGAGTGATCTGTCACTCTCAGGCTCTAAATTGTGGTTTTCTCCTCCTCAGGAGACAGAAAGCCCTAAAGCAGGAAGAGACAGAGAGACTGTGGAGGCCAGGGCCCTGCGGCTGGCTAATGGAGGTGGGGCCTAATGACACAGGAGGTAACAGAGTCCTTGACACTCTCCCAGGGAAGAGAGGAGGGCTGATCCAGAAGGTATGGGGTGAGAGTGATTCCTAAGGGATGATACATTTATGCTTGGATTAGGCTGGGGGCTGGAGACAACTTGACCCAAAGTTGATTATCTTGGTCCAAGGCCATCCCTTGAGACCAGAAGCTCTCTGCCACTAGATTTTCCCCAGCATGCAGCTCACAGGCATGTGGGATCACTCTAACAGGGCTTCATCTAGACAGTCCCAGAGTTATCAGCACCAATTCATTGCTGCTCATTCCTCAGCTTCCCAGTTCCCCATCGCTGCAACCCCACTCAGTCCCCAAGCTTTGTGACCTCTGCCAACACAGGTCACCATTCCCCACTGCCTCTTACCTGGAGGTTACAACCCAGCACACAGCACTAAGCCAACACCCTCCACCAACCAGCACTGGCTAAGTAGTTCTGGCCAGAGGGGAGGACCCTGCCTGGAGCACAGGGCGGAATTGCCCAACCCATCAGGGAAGGAGGCCCCACCTTCCTGCAGACACAGCCCACATATTCTGCATTTGGCCCCCATCCCAAGGACAGCTGGGAGATCTTATTCCTTCTCATACCCAACCGCCCTCCCCTAAACCCAGTGTAAAGGCGGATAGAGAAGAAACTGAAGACAGGACCTAGCATTGCAAATTCCTGCTTCTACCCTCTTTTCTGCACCTCCTCTGCCCTTTACCCAGTATTCTTTCCTTCCCCACAATGGGCACAGTGGCCCTAGACACAGCCAGAGTCCATTCCAAAAAGACCATCATTTTTTATTTAAATCAGCAAACTCTTATTCCTCAAACCCCAGATGGTGGTAGGCAGCCCTCCCTCTTCTGTCCGCTCAACCCCGTCCCTTAGCCACAGCAAGGGGAATGGAAAATGAGAAACCAACAGGGCCTCTGCCAGGGAAAGTTGCCCCAGACGTGTGGTGAGCACAGCCCAGCCATAGCTAGAGTGGCAGTCACCACAGGGCCCTGCCTATAAATTAAGTCCCTGCAGTCACAGCTGCAGGATAGGCATACTTGTGGAGGGAAGGCCAGCCCACCAGGCCAGAAGGCAGCATCCCTGACTATGAGCCAAGGACGGGCTCAGGGCACACAGCTCAGGGTCAGGAGAGGCCACAGAGAAAGAAGACAGGCATGGTGGGTAGTGGAAGGCTAACTGCCCCCAAGTTTTGGTCCCAGGGGGAAAGGTTGGTCCAGTTTTGATGAGTATGGGGAAGGAATGTATTAATAAGCAGAGGGGGAGAGGTTCCATTGGCACCCCGACAGGTGACAGGAGAGGTTAGATCCCCACCCCAGCAGAGGTGAGCTTGAGAGCTTTGGGGGCTCTCTAGGAATGTCACTGCTAAAACATATATACATATATATTAACCATTCAAGGGAGGGCAGGCAGGGCAGGCAGGATCAGAGGATCTGGCGTGGCATCCCGTAGCCAGTCATGCCTGCCTGAGATGCCCCACGGTTGGTACCCATCTGTAACCCAATCACATTCTTGCCCTCTTGCAACTGGTTGTCGGAGAAGTTCCGAGGGTTCTCCTTGGATTTCCTGAATAGAAAGGGAAAACTGGTTAGGAGGAGGTCGGAGGTTGTACCAGTAAATCTCTTCCCTGGGCAGAACAATGGCTCTTCAGCAGACTCCAGGACAGATACCACCTCTTCCCTGGGCACCATTTCCTCATCTCTCTCACCACCACTCACCGATCACTCACCACCCAATAGGATTAAGTGAATGAGTAACATGAAAGTGCTTTGTAAGGAACCAGTTGCTACACAGACATCACTTACTTCCCAGGGACAGTGCTGGGCAAGATCACTGCCTGCAGGCCCCGACAGCTGCCCCAGCAATACTTACTTAGGAAACCAGTTGGGATCCCCATTGAAGAACCCGTCATCCCGGGCCACTGCCAGGCCACCTAGGTTCATCAGTGTTCGCTGTACACAGGCCATGTTCTTTCCTGTTAGAAGAGGGCTGCGTTGGTCTCAGCAGGCTGTAATCCTGGATGCCGGGGTGCCACCTCTAACACTCAGTCAGCAGCCTGGCATCCAAGCTTTTTACTCTTTGATCCATCCCAACCTGCAACATGACCAAATCCTCCACACAACACATAAACGCCTTTCTTTGTCTTCAGGAAGCCCAAAACCTGCCCCTTTCCTGGTCGAGATGGCCCAGCCCAATCTCTGGACAGTCCCCAGGCCCTGGCTCACCTTCCCAGAGATCCACAGTTTGGAAGATGTCAGTGGTGTTGATGCCATAGCGCTCAGCTGCCTGCAGGAACTGAGAGATCTGCTCCATCTGCTTGAAGGCCATGGTGGAGGCCTGGATCTTCTTCACTGGGGCCTGCCCCTCGGGGTACAGTCCATTGATGAGCTCACATAGCACCTGGGTGAGGACAGCATGAACAGAGGTGATGCCCACTGCACATCAGTGTCACAATCCTCAGCACCAGGCCTAGTGGCCCAAAGAGGCGTCTTCGCCACAGTGAGCTTCAGAGATTCCTTCCCCTTCTGAGCCCCAGAGCAAAAAGGCAGTATATAGTTTCCCCTTGCTCTTCCAGTATCCTTTGGAGAGTCCACCTCCCACATTGTTTCCTTGGAGCTATTTTTTGTTGTTGTTACGTGCAACCTGCCTACTGTGTTACCTTGGTTCGGGTAGAGGGGCGCATGTTCACCTTACCTTCCCTTCCAGAGAGAAGGAAAGTATGGGACTTCGCCTATCCTTGATAAAAAAACACTCAGTCTGAGGAAGAGGCTGTGCCCACATGGTCTCGGTCTTCAGACTAAACAATGCCTGGCTCCCTGGGCCCAACCCTGCCCTTCCTGGCCGTCCAGTGCAGTGGCGGCCCGCCTCTCACCGTGCCATCCTTGAGCCAGTTCTGGAAGTTCTCACGGCCTGGCTGGGGCCGGCCCACATCCTTGCGGCACTGGGTGGTGATCCACTGGACCAGGATCTGCTCCAGGTCGGCATCATACTGCTTTTCAATCTTCTGCTGCACCTCTCGGCTCAGGCCATACGCAGGTCCCCTGTTGGCCATTCTGAATACCTGTGGTGGCTGTGGGGAGCTGGGCAGAGGACACAAGCAGGCCTGTGGTCAACCAAACAGTATTCGGCCTGCAGAGACTCACACTATATCCTCCACTGTGGGTCCCAAGGTGAGAAGCAGAACTGCTGCTGCTGGATGCAGTTTTTAACTGACCCATAGGTAAGGGCTAAACCAACACTGCCCAGAACTCTGGATTCTCTCACTCTGTGACATGCAGTCTGTCTTTCCTCTTGAGGGTCCTCACTAAACTGCATTTCAACAAATGCTTCTACTACTAGGATGAAGCACTGAACTAGAATACAGAATAAATGATTGGGGTTCTGCTCTCCACTGGAATGATCAACTTTTATAAATGATCAACTTTTATAAACCCAGGGAAGGTTATTCTAACCCCAGCCATGCTCTTTATTGCTCTGGAAAGAGAATGAATGATTCAGGAAGAGGAGGAAGAATATGGAGCTGCTTGCAAAACTTCTTGGAAGGCAGAATGGATCTATGCTTGATCAATCATTGGGTTTTAACTGAGAGCTTATTATTTGTGCTAAGAACTGCAGAAGACATAGAGGTTCCAGATTCCTAAGGGGCCCACAGTGCCTTGGTGGAACAAAATGAGTACACAGAGTAAGAGAAGGATTACACACAAGAAACTATAAACTTCATAGTTCAGGTCACATGTACAGGGATTGACAAAAGAGGAAGGCAGAACCAATCTGGGTAGGCTTGTTGGAAGAGGACGGCCTTGATAGCCTTTACCAGACCACTTCAGCAGACAAAGGGAATTTCTTATGAGAACTCAAGCAATCAAAACAAATTCCCCTTTCCCTTTTAGGAGGTGTGATAGGCAAAATAATGTCCCCACCTCAAAAGTGTCTTGAGTTCTAATTTCTCAGAACCTGTGGATATATTTCCCTTACAGGCCAAAAGGGACTCTGCAGATGGGACAAATCAGAGTCAAGGAGGTGTCATGAACCACGCAAGGTGGCCTCTAGAAGCCTGAAAAGTTAAGAAAACAGATTCTCTCTGACTGTCGCCAAAAGAAGCCACACCTCACTAACACCCGGATCTTAGCTGCTAAGGCCCTGCCATGATCCCTAGAACTCTAAGACACCGTATAGGTGCCACCAAGTTTAGAAAAGTTTGCTACAGTAGACCAGGAAACTAATTCTAGATCCTTGAGGGTATTTTCAGGGAAATTTGGAAGGGAGAAAAAGAGGGGAAGTACGCAAGAGGGATTCTCTAACTCCAAGGTTTGAGGACCCTGGTTAGCGAGAACTGGGTGGTTTCTCACCACTGGCCTGAGCCAGCAGCACCTTCCCCAGCAGTCAGGCCCATCCACCACCTCCCTCAAAGCTCCCATTCTTGCTGAGCAAGTCCTAGGGTGCTGCTGATGCCAAGGGGACCAGGAACAGAGAAAGGGACACGGCCCAGCCCCCGACATTTTCTGTCCTCCTTGCTCAGAAATGGGGAGGTTGGCTGGCTGGTTGGTCACCAAAGTGGGTCCCCAAAACAGGCACTTGCATTCAAAGAAGCCAAGGGAGCCGCCCCTTCGCCCACACAGGGCCCAAGGCCAGATCAGACTTCAAGGATGAAGTCATTTTGGCTCCCTCTCCCAAGCACCCAGGTTAAAGGATCCCGCCACCCACTGAGTAGGCTAGTGCCCTGCCCAAAGGAGCCTAGCCACCGCCCTCAGCCTCAGCTGTGGGCCTGTGGTCAATCCCCTCCCCCTCGTTCCAACATGGCTCCTCCTTCCTAATGTAGCTTATCGAGCCGCACGTTTCCCGCAGACATCTCCATAAATCAGTTATTTTTAAACCTCATTAACAACCACCCTCTCCACTTCCCCCCTGCCTGAAAACCAGGCCAGACAAATGTCAGTCCAGGTCCTGACCCACACCACGAGCCACCCCAATCCGCTGAGGGGGGACAGGCAGCGGAGTGGCTGAGGAAAAAGGGGGGCAAGCTTCCCCCTGCCAGGCCCCAGCTGCACAGCCGCCACTCAGTCTATGCAGGCCTGTAACCTCTGACCACAGAGGAATGGCCGGAAACCAGTAGGAAGAGGGGCTAAGGCTGCTTTCATCACCAAGCCCCCTTTTCCCAGTCTATTTTCAGACTCTCCTCGGGGAGCAGTTTTGCTATGGCCACCTGGGTCTCAAGGGTGTTTCCAAGGAGCCAGAGGCCCAGGGGTCACCATAGCACAGGTAAAGAAAGGGCAGAAGATGATTAACACACACCACAGTTATGCAGGAGGAGAAGGGCCTAAGGCCAGGTCTGTCCACTGTCCCCTTTCGCTGTCCCCTCTCCCAGTCCTGGCCTCCCAGACACCCCTGGGGTGGAGGATGGATGCTGCAGGCCCCTCCCGGGGACTCGGCAACCAGGGTATAGTTGGCAGGGGCACAGCTGGCAGGGTCATGCCTCCAGCTGTAGTGTCTCCATTCCACTCTAGAGCCCGGAGGTCGAGCCGCAGGGCAGGGTTCTGGGAAGGGGAAGGCCAGCCAGGTGCAGCAGCTGTCTCTCCTCATCCCCCAAGCAGGCAGCGGCTGGAGATGCTCTCTGGCTGTTGCAGCTGGGGAAGCCCATCCAGGTGATCTGCCCCTACCCTTCCCCAAACAAAGGGGAGACAGCCAGCCTCCTACTGGCCAGGGGAAAAGAGGTGCGCTCAGGTGCAAGACAGGTGGGGGACCTCAAGGGAAGACATCAGCCAAACAACTTGGGGAGGGGGTGGCTTGGCAGTGAGCAACCTAAACTCTAGAGCTACTGCAGCTGTGAGAACAACCCCCACCCCACCCACGAGGTGACAATAGTTGAGCAAGGAAGAGGGGCCAGAAAAGGCACCGGCCAGGCCTCTGTCCCACCCCAGGCTGAGCAATTCTACCTGGATGCAGAAGAAAAGGCCAACACCCAGTGACAGCAGGGGTTGCAGGGCTGCTGGCTGGAATGTCCAACTCAGGAGCCAAGAGGACTCTCCATTCACTGTGCAGATGAGACACAGGCATACCAGGCTGGGCCAGGGAAGGGCAGCACAAGGAACAGGCAGAACTGTGGTCAGGGGGTGGCCTTATAAGGGGCAGATCACTCACCTCAGGGGACATCCCCTCACCACCTAGAGTCCCCAGCAGAAAAGTAAGCTGAAGCAACACAAACAGGAAGCCGCCAGGCTTGGGGGAGGGGGGAGGGTCGTTGCCATGGCTTCTGTGTACCAAACACAGGAATGGAAGCAGGGAGGGGGCATCAGGCAGAGATACCAGGGCCACAGGACCTTCCTCAGCTCCCAGGAGGCTCTGAGCACTGTACAAGGGGGCCCTCACAGCAACCCTAGGGGAGATCCTGAGGCAGGAGACCCTGGAGGTGGCAGCTATGGGGATGCAGGGCTGAAGAGCAAGTAGAGGAGGTGCCCAGCCTGGTTTAGGGGTGGAAAAAAAGAGACAAGGAAGTAGTTCAGACACACTGCACGGAAAGGCGAAGTGTATTCTGAGCCAGAGACCCCCACGCCTGAAATTCCTAGAGGGTGAAGGGATGGAGTGAAGGAAGGATTAGAGGCTGACCCGGCGGGCGAGACAGGGCCTGAGGCCGTGGACTCTGGAAAGGAGACACAGTGGACAAAGACTGCTGGTCCCGAAAGGTAGCGCCTGTCCTGCCGGCGCTCTTTTGACCTCTGCCGTTTGAGGTCGCCGCACAGGGCGGGAGAAGAGCCTTGGAAGGGTGTGGCCGCACCGTGGCTGTCCCCGACTGGTACCGACAGGTCCCAGAGCGTGAAAGAAAGCCCTCCACACCAGAGGATTCCCCGTACTCTACTCATCTCCACTTTCCACCCCCAGAGACACCAGGGTCCCCGGACCTCTCTGGTCCCTGGAGACTCGAAAGCCAGGAAGGGGCAACGCGCCTCAGGCCCCGCAGGTCCAGCCCCTGCGCCTCCCCAACACACACACCCGGCCACACCCTGGGCCGTTAGCGGATGAGTCACCCCACCGCCGCCGCCCGCCACTGGGGTGACGCAGTGGTCTGGGCAGCCCGCCCGCCCGCGGCCACCGCCGGCTTTCCCAGCAGCAGGGGGCACGGGAGAGGGCGGCTGGGCGCGGGCACGAGTGGGCAGGCCTGGAAGCCGGCCAGCCCCCTCCTCACCCAGACAGGGCGCACTAGTGCCACCAGATGCCTGAGGTCGAGGGAGGGGGTTCTCCTGCAGACTAGGCACCGTCACAGACGGCGAAGCTACCACGCGCGGAGTCCCCTGCCTTCAGCCCGAAACCCTGAGACCCCAGAACAACAAGGCAGCAAGAAATAAGTACGGAAAACGCGGCCTCGAGGGCCCAGAGGGCAGGCGGCGCCCACACGTGCTCCTGAAACCAGGAAGTGGAGGAGCCCGGAACCGGACCCGGGCGCCCCGCACCGAGGTCGCATTGCACTTGGGTCGCACAGCCGACGGCTCCCGCTCCCTTTTCCCTCCACAGCGTGCACACGCGCGAGTTTACAACGAGAGGAGCTGATCCCAGTCCCCGCGGAAGCCCCGTCTAAGCAACGGCAACCTCCTGACCTCATCGCTCAGCAATGCTGGTCAGGGTTTTAGGAAAGAACCTGACAGCACAGGGCGGAGCAGAGCGGTCATCGGACTTTGCTGGCGCCAGCTGTTGACTTTGACTCGCCAGAGCAAGTCTCGAGCGCTGGCTTCTAGCTTTCTATGGACCATGCAACTCTCCCCCTCCCCTGACCCCCTCCCCCCTCCCGCTCACCGTCGGGCGGGCTGGACACAGCGTGCGCACCACAAGGGCTGCAGCTGGAGTGGTGCGCGCGGGCCGGGCGGGCCAGGGGTTTTCAGGAGGGTCCCGCCTCAGACAGGGCGGACCGGGGGCGGGGCGAGGGCCCTGAGGGTTTAAAGGCGCCGCAGCGGACAAGGCAAGAAAGTGCTTAAGAGAAGATAAAGGGTAAGGACGAGGGTTAAAGCACCTACGGAGTCTAGGGTGCAGCTGCAATGTTCTCCCCACGTGCAAACCTCAACCTCCACCAGGAGCCCGTAGACTTTTGTTCCAGTAGGAAACTTTCTCCCTAGATGAGCTCAAGACTGTGAGCATGTGTATGTGGAAAGAAACATGTTAAAGACCAGAGAGGTAAATGGAGGCACAGGAAACCCTCCCCTGAGTAAGGTGTGACAGGCCCTGGGCTGACAGGCCCGAACAACACCCCCACGTGGTCTTGCTTGTCACTGGGCTTCAAGCCTGGGCAGAAATGAGCAGTGAGGTCATTGCTTGCCTTGCCAGGGCACAAAGGGTGTGGTCAGTGTTGGGGCTCTAGGCCTGACTTCTCCAGTTTGCTCATTTCTGACCTGGTGTTCTTTCCCAAGCACCTCCTTCCCTTTCACAGTTCAGTTGAGCAGTGCTCCTGGGAAGGGCCCCTGCTTACCATCATCAGTGGGGTTCTCCACATATGGTAGGGACCCTGTTGGGCCTGGTAAACGTCAACAACCAGCATCCTCTGAACTTTCCAACCTGCCCCTCCCTGTCCTACTCTGACCTGTGAGTGCCAAGTGTTTTTTACTTCTGTACCCTTATGGGCTATTGTTCCTCCCCGTGGTGTGCTTTTCTTTCTTTTTGGTGGTAATGAGGATTGAACCCAGATCCTTCACACTGAGCTACATCCTCAGTCCTTATATTTTTAAATTTTGAGACAGGGTCTCACTAAGTTGCCCAGGCTGAGCCTCAAGCTTGGGATCCTCCAGCCTCAGCCTCTCAGAGCGCTGGGATTACAGCCTGTGTATCAGGCCACCAGGCCCTGCTTTTCTATCCTTGACCATCATCTCATCTACTCTAGCCCTTCCCCACTTGGTGGCTTCAGGGCAAATTAACTAAAGCACTCTCTGCTTCACTTCCTGTCTACAAAAGAAGCCATCAGTATGACCAAGATGCAGAGCCGGAGTGAACTAGACAGGACATGTAAAGAGCTTACAGTAGTGCCAGGCACATGTGAATGCTACTATCATTATCACTTTCCCAGACAATCCCAAAGATGCCCCATATGTAGCATTTCCCCAGAACATTGTAAACATTCTCTAAAGGTTGACCCCAACTGAACCTTTTCCTATTGTGTTACCACAATTACCCACACATAGCTTTATCTAGGAACTTATCGCATCATACTGTAACTATTTCTTTAGTTCCTGCCTCACTGGCTAGAAAGAACTCCCCAAGGACAAAGTCATGTCTTAGTGAACTTTGTATTTTCTCACGGCTTCTGGCTTAACAGCTGGTCTTTAGTAGCCAAGCTAGTGGATGCTCAGTAAGTGCTTTGGGAATAACTGTTGAATGTACCCCCATTTGTTCAGGAAGGTTTCCCCTCTTCTTCAAGAGTATAGGACCTTCCCATTTCTCTCAGTCTCAAAGCTAGATACACAGGAATATTTTTCAGATTTTATTTACCTGTAAAAATCTTCACTCATATCACAAACACCACACACACACACACACACACACACACACACACACACACGGGCAGACTGAGATCCCTGTCCCAATTCCCAGACTCCAGACTCACCTAGGGGGTTCAACACACACATCCCATAGCAAGCTCACCCAAGCCCAAGCCCGCCATCGGGGTCTGTGCTTAGGCACCAAGGGGCAGGGGGCAGTGCCCAAGGTTGCAGCTAGGTCTTGCTGGGGGCCTGTTTTACAGGTCCATAGGCCTTGCACAGGTCCACCCAGCCTCACATTAGGGATATTCACAGCAGCGTGGCCTGTTCAGGATGGAGGACTGGCTGTCGATAGGCTGGTAGCCGGGCTCTGGTAGCATCTCGGCGGCGGCGGAAGGCCAGGAATTCCTCTCGAAGTGCAGCACAGCGGGCCTCAGGGCCAGGGGCATGGACAGTGTTCAGCAGGCAGCTCTCCTCTGGAGTCTTCAGACCTGCACAAAGAAGGCAGGCCAATGAGCGAAGTGGCCTTGACACTGGGATGTGAAGATCCTAAGGGCTTTGGGGTGCAGATGAATGAGGAGCAAGGCACAGGCCATAGAAGAGGAGCCTGACCCAGGGCCTGATAGCACAGTCTGGTGCTCAGGTGGCCAGGGGCACATGGGACAGCACAGCCACAGTTGCCTGTCTTTCCAGAGGCTTACACACCTAACTCAGGCTCAGCTTCAGTTCGGATCCGAGAGCTCGCCAAGCCCAGGTGCAGATTCTCCTGCAATTCCAGGTCCCCAGGGAATTCTGAGTCCCATTCGTAATTCTCATCCACAGATGTGTTCCTCCTTTTAAAAGGGACAAGCATGCAGTGTGAATGAAGGCACAGAGGGTATCCAGAATTGTCTGAACCTAGGGTGCCCAAACTCAGATTTGGTCATAGGTTTCCCCTGGGAATCCCTGCATGTTGGCAAAAGCTTCTGATAGAAGGTAGAGTCTCTAGATCCCAGGATGGAAGTGGTGGAGGAGCAGTGTTGGATATTGGGTAGGGGGGAGAAGATCTGAGACAACAGAACAGGACCCAGATGAGAGCAACGATGGGCAGTGACTGCCCTCACCTCTTGCTGACTGTCACCACATGCTCCCTCCGGGGCCACCTCTCAGGGCCACTGGCCCAGCTGCTGGTGTCTCCTGGTGCAGGGCTAAGGTAGCTGCCCCCTGCAGAGGGGACTGTGGAGGGGGGCCGCAGGAAGGATGCACTGCCCCGTCCACTGCTCTGGCTTGTGAGGCTGCCCCGGGGGGCAGCCGGAAGAAGGCCCGGCAACAGCCGCTCCCTCAGTGTCCAGTCAGCCAGCGCTGTGTAAGGGGATTCTGAGATGGTTCCAGCCCCTACCAGAGCCCCAGGAAGTGCTGTCCTGGGGGACACAGGTGGGGTGTCCGGACGGCCAAGGAAAGATGAGGTGGGGCAGGGCCTGGTATCCATGTAATCTGGGGGTTGAGCAGGGCTGGACTCCTCCAGAGGGGGCCAGTCCCCATCCACATTCATCTCCCGGAAGAAAGGTAGGCTCAGGTACTGGAGCAGTGGTCCAGGACCCGGCAGGGGACTAGGTGGCACTGCTGGAGGGGGCCCCACAGGGCTGATGTCCGCAATGCAGAGGGGCTGAGGTGCCCCACTGGGGCTGCTGCTGCTACAGTCACACGACAGGGCCAGACGCTGGGATGGTGCCTGTAGTTCCGTCCGCCCCAGGCTTGACCTTTCTTGGGGTGCACTCATGGTAGGTCCCATCACAAAGCGCCCATCTGGGCCGCGGCAAATGGGCTCCAGGGGTAAAGGTCCCCGGCTAGATGGAGGATCCGGATGAGGGCTGGGGGGACGAACAGGTTCCCCACAAAGCAGACTCTGGCGCAGGCTGGGAACTGGGGAACCCTGGAGTTTCAGCTTGGCCACGCTGTCAGGGCTGCCCGAGCCCGGAGCAGAGCTGGGGAAGGACAGGAGATCAGGATCTGTCCTGGAGAGGTTTGGTGCACAACAGAGCAGAGCTAGGGAGAGCAAGCGAGGAGGTGGCAGGGTGGAAGGAAGGCACAGGCAACACAGGGCCGGTGCCCAGGCCAGGCCTGGAAATCCGTTCCCACCCCTCCAGTTTCTGTTCTGGTCCTCCAGAAGGTGCAGGGGAGGAAGCAGCAGATACAGGCAAGTACAGTAATGGGACTTACTGTGGGCCAGACTTCCGGGGCAGGGAGAAGATCAGAGGTGGATCTGAAAGGGCATGAGAACAGGTGACCCTGCAAAAACCAAGCTCTCCACGGCCCGCCCAACGCTAGGCACACAGCCCTTCCCCGCTGGGCTGAGAAAAGGTAGGAAAGACCAGGTGCACCTGGACTCCATGGAAGCGAGGACCTTTCCCCCCAAGTAGGAAGCCAGGGACGAGAGCGGAGGGGTTCCAGGGACAAAGGCATACCCTGGCGGAGGCGCTTGCGCCGGCGACGCGCAGTCCTGCGCCTGTTCATGAGGCAGGCGGCCAGGATGCTTACGAGGACAGCCATGCCCAGGAAGCAGACGCCGCCCACCACACCAGCCAGAACGGGCTGAGGCAGCAGGCCGGGCAGCTGTGTGCGTGAAGGGTAGACCTCTAGGCCTGCGTGCGGGAAGCAGAAGAAGGGTCAGTGGGCTTGGAGCCCCGATAGCACAAGCCCCACCACCCTTCAGACCCGCCAGGCTCTCACCTGAAGTGGAGATGTTGGCCGTGTTGCTGGGATCGCTGACATAGCTCCCAGCAACAGCAACTAGGCGGAACTCGTAGAGGACATCCTGGGAGTGTGGGGTGGCAGACAGAGGGTCAAGGGCCAGCATTGCCCTCCCCGGCCCCATTCCTAAAGACTTTGCAGTTGGGAGGTGAGGTCGAGGTAGGACAGCCAGGGATACGTAGTCAAATCAAGAAGAGATGATGGGGTTTGGGGAATGGACCATGTCACTAAAGAGTCCCTCACCCCACTCGTGGCCTCCCGCACATACCTTGATGAGGCCTGGCACCAACAGCTGCATTTCTGTGCCTGCCACAGCTCGGTCCAGCACCTCCCAACTCTGGGAGCCTTGCCGTCCTTCCAGAATGTAACCATCCAATCTCTTAGGGACCAGTTCAGGGGGATCCCAATGCAAGAGTACCCCCCGGGATGTTCTCACTGCCACCAGACCCCGAGGAGGGGACAGGGGAGGTAGCATCTCTGTTGCTGGAAGGCTGGGTACAGGTGGTGTGGTAGGAAGGGCTGAATGGGACAGACAGAAAGCCAGAGATAAGAGTTCCCAACTCCCCTCATCTTGCCCCTCCCCTGGTCTTCGTCAGCCCCCCCCCCCGTGCCAAGGTGTTCTGCCAAGACCCTTCCACACCTCCACTGCCCAGCATCTCTGCCCCCTTGTCCTTCCACACCCCAGATTTCCCTAATACCCATCCCCATTTCTGCTGCTCTGTGGCATGAGGTCTCTCACCTTCTGGCGCAGCCAAGATGATCTCACTAAAGGGACCACTCCCCAGCTTGTTCTGAGCCAGGACACTGAACTGGTACTGCATGTGGGGCTGCAGCCCTGGCACGAGAAGGTGTGCAGCCCCTACAGGCACCTCCAGGGAGACCCAGTCATGGTGGGCTCGGTCAGGACGCTTGGCCCTAGGGCACGTGGGAAGTGGGGGAATATCTCATGAGAAGGCCTGGAGTCCAAAGAGATGATCTCCCCTCTTCTCCCAACCATCCCAGGTCCCAGAACCTATTAGTCTCCAGAAACGGCAGCAGAGCTGGGACACAGTAGGAATGAGGGGTGGAAGAAAGGAAGAGGGCTAGATAGATTCAAGGTGAAGACAGCACAGGTCACTCACAAAGGGGTGTACCAGACACTGAATCTCTGCAAATAGCCACCATCAAAGCCAGGTTCCCAGGAGACATTGGCACTCTTGGACAAAGGCACCACAGACACATTGGTGACAGCATGGGGGCTGGTGCCTGGATAGGGGATGGGGGGAGGGATGACAGTCAGGGCCCTGAGGGAGGGTGAAGACTGGGGTTCAGGGGAAGGGTCTGACTTCTACCCATCATCGCACAGGTCCCACACCCACAGTTCCCCACCTGGGCCTCCAAAAATGATTCCCCTATTTCCCACCCCAGTCTTCCCTGACCCCAGCATGCTCCCCAGCCACTGACCCAGCACATAAACATTCGTGGAGGTGACCACTCGGGCTACAGCATTGCTGGCACTGCATTCCCAGCGCCCGTGAGCCTCCTTGGTCAGTGGCCGTAGGATGAGGCTGCTGTTGCTGTCCACCTGAGCCTGGCCCTGCAGCCCCCGGCCCACCTGCAGAAGCACTGGTCAGCCCTGAGGACACACGCAGCCACCCCTCACCAAGGGGGCCACTCCTCTCTCCAGGAGGCCCGTTTCCTCCCCACCCCATTTCTCTCAGCCCACTTCTTCCCAGATCCTTTTTCCTGTGAACAAGCCAAGGGCACAGAGGCAGGGATACAGGGAGCAGGGATTTGGGTGGAGCAGCAGCAGAGATTTACCTTGGTCCAGGAGAGCGTAGGAGGAGGATCTCCTTGAGCAGAGCAGGGGATGAGTAGTTCCCGTCCCACTTCTTGGAAATATTCTTCCTTAGGCCGTTCTATAAAGGCTGGGGGAACCTGCAGGCCAGATCTGGGTTGGGAGGTATCTCTTCCATCCATCTGAGGCTAGGTCCTCATAACACTCCCAGCTCTCTGTTATACTGTGTGTCTCAGTCTCCAACACATTCTTCCCCAACCTCTTGCCTGATTCTCTCTAACACTGTGTGTCTGCTCTCCAGCAGGTGAGGCTGAAGGAAATGGTAGGATAGGTAAGGCCTGGTGGGCTGAGAAGGACTCTCTGAAGATGTACAAACCTCTACAGATCACCCCACTCTTGCCCTTTGCTTCCTTCCATAAAGCTCCAGAGACAGCAGCAGGCAACATGGTCAAGATTAGTGGGATTTAGAGCAGACAGATACCTCGTTTTTTGGAATGTGTCGTGTGATTAATGTCCCTTCTCCCCAGCCGCATCTCCACAAAACCCTCTGGGATAACATCTGACAGCTGCTTCTGTGGCCACCATGGCAAACACAGACCTGAAAGGCCCTCCCACATGTGTCATCTGCCAGTCTCAGCATCTTCAGCCACCTGACCCACTGCTGCTTCGGGCTCCTGGCCCACCCGGGCCTCACCTTGAGCAGCACTCGTGTCACAGGCGAGGGCCCAGCAGTACCAAGGCTGTTGTAGGGGGTGCAGGAATATTCTCCCAGGGCATCTTCATTCCCCAGGGCAATGATCAGTGAGCCTTCTGTGCCCTGCGACCAACCAGGGAACTGAAGGGAAGAAGACATGACAACCAGAGAAAGGAAGTCAGCAGAGGTGAGGCCAGGATGGAGAGGCAATACAAGCAACTCACTGGGCAGCGACTCCACAGCTCTACCCCTAAGCCGGATTCCTCTCAGAGCCCCAGCCCTCCATCTCCCTTTCCTGCAGGGAGGCAGTACCCGTAGGTGTGAGATTGTACCTGTCCAGATCTGGGAGACCTTTGGGTGCAGGGCACCCTGGAGCTGAGCTATGCCTGGTTCCCTGCCTGCTGCAACCCCTCCTAGTTGTCCTCCCAAGGCTCTGCAGCAAAATGGCCTCTTCCACACCAAACCAGTCCCTGCTTTTAGGTAAAGGCTGCCACTGTCTTCCTGGATAATGTGGGTGTGTGCCTTCCCTTTCCTCATTCCCCTTGTCTAAATACTTGAATCTGTCACACTTCAGTCTGAGCATAAGGGCTCATCGAGCTTCATGTCCTTTAGCTCAGACTTCTTAACCCTGGCACCTGGGCCGCCTCAACAGCCTTGTGACTCTTATCCTATGCTAATCCATCTGGCAAACCCAGCTCCTGATCACAGCTCTGATGCTTCACTGCCTTTACACTTTTTTTTTTTTTTTTTTTAACATGCAACAAAAATGTATTGAGTGCTACTGCTGTAAAAGCCCCGAGGACACTGTGATTAAAATGCACCACTAAGCCTCAAGGAATTTATGGTCTCTGCAGACAAACACCAGATCCCAATCACCTTACAGTGAGGTAATATGAATTTGCCATGTGCTGTTTTTCCTTTTAGTCCCAACCTGCCTTTTCAGCTTTCTTGACACCACTCATGTTTTTTCAGTACCGCAGCCACCATCAAATCGCCCAATTCATTGTGCCACAAATGCACTGCATATGTGCTCCCTCTGGGCCCTGCTTTCTGCATGGAATGACCATACACCCATCCAGGCCCAATTCCCAAAGTCTTAGAATCTGCTGCTCAGTTACCCTCCACCAAGCCTACAAAGAAGGCACTTACTCCATCCCTGGCCTTCTAGAAGAGTCTATTTCTGACCCCTTTGCCCCCAGCAGTATCTTCCTTAAGGATAGGGGCTTCTTTCCTGATACTTTCCACCCAACACCACACACAGCATCTGGCAGGACGTGTGTGCTCCTACTCAGAGCTGAATTATACTGAGCTAACTCCATTCCGGCTGCCTTTTGACCAGAATAACACTGACTGTCACCTTCCACTCTCTGCCCCACTCCCGTACCTTGTCCAGTTGCAGGGCCTGCCCATCCTTGGTCCAAGTAACAAAGAGGAGTGGGGGATTGGCACGAACAGGGCACCGGATCACCCCGCGCATACCGATGGGTAGGGGTGTCTCAGGAGGCATTGCTGTCACCTGGGCTGGGTCTGGAAGAAAGCAGCAGCAAGCTGGGAGAGAGGGCCTGGCTCAGGAGAAAAGCAGGCTGCAAGAAGAACTGGGGTCAGACTTACAGAGCACAGTGAGGTAGGCAGAGGCCGAGGGAGGATGCAGGAGGCCATTGCTGGGCACACAGGTGTAGCGGCCAGCATCGTCTGGCTGGGTGGCCTGCAGCCGCAAGCTCCCGTCCACCAGGATCCGAACTCGGGACTGCAGACGGCTGCAATATGCTACATGTGACAAGGGGCCCTCCAGGCCTTACCCAGCCAAAGCTCTTCCAAGGCTGTTCATCAGATTCCCACATCCACTGCTGGCCGTATAGGTGACCCTACCTAATGTGGAAGACATTGATCCCATCCTGGAACCAGCTGTAGGTGAGGTTAGTGGGGTACGCCTCAGCCCGACAGGCCAAGGAAACATCCTGGGATGCATTGACTGTGCTGTTCTTAGGGGGCACCACAATGATAGGGGGTCCTGTAGAGAATGCAAGAAAAGATGGTCTTAGCCAGGTCTTTCTAGAACCCTCAGTCAACCCTTCTTGTCTCTGCCCTCTGGTATACAGGGTTGCTATGCGGTCCTGGGGACCTCAATCAGGACCTTGCCATTATGTAAAACAAAAGTCCTCTTTGCATGCTGCTTCCCTTTCCAAATTCTTCTTCCACTAAGGGCAACCCCATTTACCCAACTTCTCCTGCCTAAAAATTGTGTGTAGTTGGGAGGGGGGCTAGTTTTTGCTCTGTTTATTTACCCTTTTGGTTCCTGTCCACGTCTAAGGCACCTCCCTGTGTCTTACTCTAATCCAGGTGCCCTGTACCTCTCCCTAAGAAGCTGCAGCAACCTGAGTCCAGGCTCCCTTGTCGCCACACTAAAGGCCACTCATTCTGTACCCCACAAAGGGTACAGAATCCACAGCAGTTCCCGGATCCTATCGCACTGAGTTCATGCTTCTGGACCCAGCCCTGTGGGCCCAGTCACTCAACAACCCATCTTTCCACATGCCAGCCCTCATGAACTCCTTCAGTGTGGGCAGCTGGCTATGCCCACACCAAGCTCATGGCTGTCCCAGTGCCTCTACTCTCTAAAGCCCTAGTCTGGAATGCCCTTCACTAGAGTCTGGCCAAGCCTCTGGCAAAACTGTCTCTGACTGTGCAGCTCGGCTGCCCTGTCTCCTCCTCGACCCCACTGCATTAGCAGTCAGTAACAAGAGACAACAGCAGGAGCCCATGCACAGACCTGCTGGAATGCCTGACACCTTGCCTGTTCATCCCAGGACATCCTCTCGAGAACCTGCATGGTAGGAATTGTTTCCTTTTTAAAGATGAAAATATGAAGGCAGAGAGATAGTGAATCTTGTCTCAGCTCAGCAGGGGGAGAGGGGAAGACGATGACACATTACAAGGTCTTCCTGATCCCAGAAGCTATGCTCAGCACCCCCTTCCCTGAATACCACAGAAAGCCTAGGTTCTGGGGGTCACAGGTCACCTTTACTCCCCCATGCAGATAGTAGACACTGTGAAGGTCACTCAGGCTTCACACTACTCAGTTTCCCTTCCATGGACAAAATCCATCTAGCAATGACTGTGTGCCACCTGTGCCTGCCTGAACCTCATTAAATTCTGTCACAGTCCTAAGCGGAAGATGTGAACCAACTTCTGCACTGAGATGTGAAGCCGGGGCTCAGAATGGTCTACACCGGCCTCCAGGTCTCTTCCACTGTGACACACTGCTGGGCACTATCTGTCTGCTTACACTGATCCTTTCCAAGTTAGCACAGCAGGGGACCCCTCTTCATCCTGCTGCGCACCTCCCCCAGCCTCCCTCAGAGGTATTCCTGGTACCCACCCCTCCCACCAAACAGCACCTAGCACCAGCAGCTGAGTGGCATGGGTGGCGCTGCCCTCAGTGTTGGAGGCTTGGCAGGTGTAGACTCCAGAGCTACCTCGTTGCACCCGCCGGATCCACAAGGTCCCGTTCTGCACCTACAGAAACAACCCATGTTCCCTCTTGGCTGGGCCAGTCTCAGACCTACACTCCCTAGCCTGGCCAGCAGAGGGAGTGCGCACTCTGGACTTCGGGGAAGCCAATAGCACCTCTCGAAGTCCATCTTCCAGCTCAGCCCGGGGAGCCTTTCTATTTTCCAGTTCTGTTCCCACCTTCCCAGCACACTCCAGCTGGCCCATTCTGCCCAGCTCTGGGACTCACTTGCACCTGACCCTGGCCCCGGCCGAGGTCCTGTCCCCAGAGCTTCCAAGTCACGCGAGGCTGGGGGCTGCCGTGGGCTACACAGCGAAGGGTGACTGGCTCCAGCTCTCGCACTTCCAGTACTGCGGGAGGTGTCTCTTGGAACTGAGGGGGTGCTGTAAGGGAGAGAGTCATCAGGGGCTCCACAGGGGCTATGGCCCCAAGAACAGTGTCCGAGGGCCAAGGAGACAGGTCATTGAGGGCTGTACCTCTCCACCCTCCAGTGCAGCCCAAGGTCACCCTATCTGCCCTACCAGGGACCAGAAGAGAATTGCATCAGCCTATCTGCACACACTGTGCTAAGCACGGAGAGCACAGGAGGAGAGCTAAGTGCCCAGGAAGAACACAGTGCAGGGGGTCAGAGGCCTGGGTCCTAGACTCTGCCCAGCCAGTTATCAGCAGCAGGACATGCTTCTCTGCCCCTGTTTCACTGATGAGATCGATTATGAGGGACGATTAATGGGGTCCAATGTGAGAGGTGTTTTGGAAGCATGGACCAATAGCCCCAGTGCCCCTAGCCATCTCCTTCACCAGGGAGGCAGAAGGGAGCAGAAGGACCTTCCTGATTCAGAGCTGAGACAGTTGATTTGAAGAACTGGAGGGCTGGTCTGAAGGAGGGACAAGATATAACTGCTAAGTCAGCAAACAAGGGGTGTCGGGGAGGGTGGGGTGCTGCAGCTGCACTGGACTCCTCTTCCTCTTTTCCACCAGCCTGGGTCCCCGTCATTTCCCTGCCCTCCCTTCTCCACCACCTGCGCAGCGGCCTCATACAATTGACTGTCAGGTGCACCCAGGAGCCGTTGGCAAAGTCCTCTTCTGGGCTGTGCCGGTCCAAGTAGAGCACGCGGCACTCGTACCAGCCCTGGTCTTCCACCCGGAGCCCCTCGATCTGCAGAGACGCTCCCGTCTGCAGCCGGACTCGTCCTGGGGAGAAGCCCTGGATTAGGGCTGCTGAAGGGACCTTACCGGAGCCCCAAATACATAGTCACATTGGTCATCCCAGAGGTGGAGAGTGGTCTCTCAGGGAATGGGGCCTACAGAGGCACAGATGGGGTTCAGTCATTGAGGGAAAAATCCTTCCATTCAGCCCTTCTGACTGCTCTGCCTTACAACAGCCACGACCAGTCCATACAAAGAGACCAGAGAGGTGGCAGGGGGACAGAATGTTCCACCAAACCACACTTGGCTTCCAGTGCTGTTGGGGGACAAAGAATGAAACACTGTCTCTGGAAACTTACAGGATCAGCCTGTCCCTGATCTCTTCATGTAGGGGCAAGATAGTTTTGGCTCCTCCTGCCACAACACTCTGTCCCTGGAAACTCCAGCAGTGTCTGGGGCCCTAGCAGGACCCAGACCTCGCCTCCCAAAGCCTCTAATCCCTTAGCGCTATTATCAGCTGCCTAAGCGCCTTAGGGTGGCCAGAGTCCAGCTGAGGGTGGCCAGAGTCCAGCCATGCCAGGCAGCAGAGTCAGCAGCTCCTCACCCATCTCCTGCATGCCCCAGGGCACTCCCAGATGACTGACCTCATGCAGCTCCACAAACCTATACACCACAGCACCAGCAGACACTCCACACACAGACACCCCATTTGGCACCCCCAGCACACCACCAGGCTCAGATTGAGATGCCTGTCCACTCAGACCCTCAGCACCCTGCACTGATGGAGCCCTGAATCCCAGAGGGCTCCATGGGACCCAGGTAGCACAACCTAGTGAGAAACGTATAAACTTGGTAGCCAGGGGAGAAATAGGCGTGAATGCAACTCTGTTGTTTTTGAGCAAGTTACTTGACTTCTCTGTCAATTTCAGCTTCCTCTGCTACAAAAATAAGAAAGAAAACCGGGTAGAGTACAGAGGAAGGGACAGTGCAAGGAAAGGATACAGCATAGTGCATCAGCTGGTGTTCAAAAGTTGCTGAACCAATGAATAAGCTCCAGATTTGAAATCAGAAGCCTGCAAGGATCTGGCCCCCTCCCTTACCTGAGAATGCATTTTACCCTTTTTTCCTCCATAGGTGAATTGCATGCCAAGCACCAAGTCACCCTACCAGAGTGGTTACTTGTGTAACCCAGATTCCTCTATCACCCCCACAGGTCCCTGCTATTAAATCTTCCAAATCCTACCCTGTAAATATTTTGATTTCCTTCCCTGTCATCTCCACTGTAAGGCCTGTCTTATCTCTCACTCAGATGCTCAGCCTACTTTCTCCCTCCTACACTCACCAGCTACCTATCTCCACTTTGACCTCATGCGGACAGATGGTATTTTCCCGACTTTGTAGGGTACACACATGCAGATCCTAGACAAGTTCCTTAGCACTGTGCACACACCATCCCTCCTAGCAGTAGAAATCCTGAACACGTTAGTGTACCCACCCTCCATCTGCTTCCATTCTACCTCCAGGGATGACTAAAGCAGAAGCTCAGCCTGCAATGCCCCTGATGCCACAGGGAAGAAGGGGAGAACCATCAAGCTGAAGATGGCTTGTGATCTTTGTAAGGGTCCTTTTCAAAAATGACTTCCCAGGGTGTGGATTCCTTAGGATGGGTGGACCTGCTGAAAGGACTGGGCGTTTAAATCTCCACCCAGGAGATAAAACTACATCTGTAGCAGGTAAATATTTAACATCATCATACCCTCAAACCACCAACAGGATTCTGCAGTTACCCTATCCTGCCTGGCCACTGAGCCCTGCAGACCCCAGGCTACAACCGCTTCTGTAGCCCTTGTGAAAGTAATTTTCCATCCAGGAGATCTTAGAGTGCTAGTATAAAGGAAGAAGATGGAGAGAGGGTAAGCATTAAAGATGGACCGTGTAATATTTTGCAATGTCACCATATTTAATCCCCCCAAGAATTCCATTATAGAAGAAAGTAATGTTAAGTTTTCTTTCAAAATCTCATGCCTAGTAAGTGACAGAGCCATGCCTCCTCCAGATGCAACGCACTTTTACATGGAGCACTGGCGTTAGGAGTGAGTGACATTCAGATCACCGAGCACAATCCATATAGTCTAACTTGGGAAATGTTGAGAGCCAATGGCCAACTGTCCCATATGTTTCCATGCAGAGAATCAACACAGCACACTGCATGTCCTAGCTCTCCTGGGAGATCTGCTGGATCGCTGGGCCTGCAGTGTCACAGAGGACCAAGGAGATGGCCAGAGGTAGCAGTAATGAGGCCATCTCCCCCTGACATCTGCAGGGCCAACCAGAAGGACTTAAGATCTTACTCAGTGCTGGGGCTGTGCAGGAGACAGGAGCTATCTGTGCCTTTTCAGGCTCCCTGAAGGCAGGAAATCCTATAATCAGGAACCTAGCAGGTGTATGTCCACACAGACAGAAACTCAAACTACTGTACCAACTGTGCCCAGACATTGCATGGTAAAGCAAGAGGAGCAAAGAGGCTTCTGGAAGATGCAACCAGCAGAGGCTTTTGAGAAATTAAAAGCCAGCAAGGGGAGATGCCTACAGTGAGCAGGGGAGTTCTAATGGTGAGTGGAATAACTGATTTTTATCAAACAACTGAGCAGTGAGAAAATGCCTGTCCCTTCATCTGTGGGATACCTTGAAACTCTCAGGAAATACAGCACAAAAGGCCAAAAGGCCACTCCATAGATGCAAAGAGCTGGTCTAGGCTCAGCCTGCCTTTCTCCCATGCCTAGTCTACAGGCACCATGCAAGGTACTTTACACTCAGTAGCGAAATGAATCATACTATTAGTCCTAGCTCATTTTACACTGTTTTTTACTACTTTTGCACCACTTTATAAACCCAGTCTCTACTACTAGATGGCTTCTAGAGTCCTCTAAAATTAGAAACTTTCCTTTCCATGTGGTCCGCATAGCTCTAGTCTCTGTCAAGTCCCATACATTCTAGGCCACCAGCCTTCCACACAGTCCCAGGCCCATCTCCCCTCCACTTGCCCAGAGGGTTTTTGACACAACAGCATTGTCCTTAGCAACCTCCACCTCCCGTTGCTTAGCAACTGCAGTTCTAAGTCCCCTACACAAAGCCTGGGAGGCTCCTTCCACTGTGAGTCAGTAAAAGGGTTAATGGGCTCAGGGGCCTCCTTCAGGGGTCCTTACTTCCCAGGCCAGCCCTGGGGTGACCAGGAGCTCCAGCATAGAGAGGGACAGGAGAGGTAACAAAGGGGTAGCGGAAAAAGAAAAGCCCCAAAGACTACTGCTTGGACCCTGGCAGCTCGAGAAACAGCACAATGAGGAATCCTACAGGTGCACAGGTAGCCATCCAGTGACTTGTCTGCCTGAGGTCCCCCAGGACAGGACAAAGGCTGGAAAGAAGGCAGAGTTCTGCTTCTTCCAGGTGAAGGCCCAGGAATGGCCCTATCCCACCTGCCTGCCTCACCCTCAGAGAGGCACTGTCTCGGAATCTGTGCCTCAGCCTGCAGCTCACAGCCTGCCGCAGCAGCAGCCTAAACCCCTCCCAGACCCAGGCTGCAGCGGGAGGGAGGGCTAGGCTGGTGGGCACAGCCTACTTGTGCTAATTGAGGCCTGCTTTCTCCAAGTCCCCCAGGGCTTGCAGAGACACATAATCTCCCACCAGGCTGTTTGCCAATAACTGTCCCCAGTTCGAAAGTAAACCCCCGCCCCCTGCAGCACCTGCCTGTGCTTCCTTCCCTCAGCTCAGCCCACCTAATGGCCAGAGCTCAGCCAATCCATGGCTTCCCTCAGGATTCAAACTACAGGGAAAAGGTGGTGCTCCTCCATCACTATCCTCCCAGGTGGCTCTTCCCAAATTCCTCTCAGAGGCAGAGGCAACAAGGGTCTCTCCTGCCCAGCAGCCCAGATCCATCCTTAGGACTCCATGGGCCTTCTGACCCCTGGCACTAAACCGCTCAGATTAAGGCTCCTTTCAAGATTAGGAGCAAGCTGAGCCATTCCAGGGAGCCAGCTGGGCTGCAGCAGAAGGTTCAGGAAGCCTAAAAACTCCTCTACTTCCACACAGGAGATGCCTGCAGCAGAAACCCAGCCAGCCCCATTCACGCTGAGACCTTTAGGGAGCCAGGGTCCTCCCCAGCCTGCTGCCTCTGTGCCCACGCTTTTCTCCGAATCAGGATGAGCCCCAACATAGGTTGCAGCCCCAACCATCCTTAGGACTCTTCAGTCCATTCCCTAAGCTCCTGGGATCTAGTATTTTGGATAATAGGTGAAGGGAAAGCAGGGGAGCTAACAGACCGTAGACCTCGGGACCAGAATAGGGCCAGGCATGGAGACTATGGAAAATCAGAATGCACTCTGGGAGGTTTCATGATAAGATTTAGAAAGAGTAATTAGGTTTAGGATAGACACAGGCTTAGGTCAAAAAGCCAGGTATGGTGATGCATGCCTGTAATGCCAGTACTCTGGGAGGCTGAGGCAGGAGGACTGCCAGTCTGAGCCTGGGCAGTTCAACGACCTAGCAAGATACTATCTCAAAATAAAAAAGTTTAAAAAAGGGCTAGCGGTGCAGCTTAGTATGAAGGCCATGGGATCAAGCCCCAGTAGTGAGGGGGGAAAAAAAGAAAGAAGGAAAGAAGAGGTGCACAATTTTGAAACAGACCACATGGAGTTCTGAGTAGCACAGCTGTAGCGTCTGTATGTGTGAATGAATGACTTGCCCATGAAATAACACTGCTTGGGAACACAGCCATGCTTGATAAGCAGTTAGGGCAGGGGAGCTGGAGATGAGCTTGGGGCAGGGCAGAGCAGTTAATGAGAGGCTTTATACCCTACCCAACCCTCCCTCCCACCAGGACAACTCTTACCCACGTAATCAGGGTCAATTCGGGGAGAGTACAGGCCAAACTGGATGAAGATGGGAAGCAGGAATCCAAAGCGCAGCCACTCGATGACATGCAGAGGGGGGTGGCCAGCCGGGGGTAGCAGGTCACAGCCCAGCACTGCACTCTCCCCGGCACGGCCCACCACTGAGACCACCTCAGGCTTCCTTCGACCTGCATGGTGGGTGGCATGAGGGCACAGCAGGGGCCAGAGTGAGAGCTGGAGGGGAGGCTCCATCAGCACCTCACTTCTCCAGAACCAGCCCTCATCCTCCCCTCCCCTCACATGGTCACAGAGAAGCCCTTGGGAAAGGCCCCACACCCCAAGCTGTTGTTCTTGAACCCAGCTCACCGTCAGCCCCCTGGCTGATGATCAGGCTGAGGAAGGCCAGGCTGAGGCACCAAACCATAGCCCAGCTGGCCTGCTCGCCCAGCCCCTCCCAGCCACAGGAGCCTAGACGGAGGGGCCCAGGGATGTCCGCTGCCCAGCAAGCCCGGGGTCAATCCTTCTGCTCAGCCTCAGGTAACAGGGTTCAGCTGTCACTCCTCTGCACAGTTAGGACTTAGCTCATGTAACACCAGAGGAAGCTGTTCTTTGGAGAATCACCAGATCTAAATGCAAAATGCAAAGCAACATGCAGCGTTGGTCAATAGAGGAGCCTTTCTCTGATTGAAATGGAGGAAGGAGAGCAGTAAGTGGGGTACCCCTGCAAAGACCCCAGAGATCAAACCTAGTAGGCAAGCACACTACCACTGAGCTACACCTTCAGCCCCCAAACTGGAAATCTTGATGCCTTGGAATTAAACTGGAGTGACAGTATTTGGAGAATGGAGGGTGTGCTGACAGAGAGACTATGCAGAAGAAATGGGGTGGCCAGTGGTAGAAAGATCCTAGGAAAAGCAGAGGAACTCTGGAGATGCCCCAGCTATAATGTCCTCAACAAACTAAGCCAGGAGAGAACTAGAGGTTTCTTCTATAGTGGGAAAAAGATTTTTCAGGAAAAAATATTGGTAATCAAGACCCTCATGGCCCAGCGTCTTTCCTTACTCAAGGTAGCAGATAGCAGCCAGAATCCGTCATGCCCCCCCCCACCAGGTGACAAGGACTCTGAGGACCTTTGCTGGGACAAATCATGGATTAGAATCTGGACTGTCTTTCCCTCACCCAGGAAGTGGCCCCTAGGCATCCTCACAAGACCTCGGGTCCCATTCGAAGAGGCCTGCAGGCTGGGAACCCTGTACAGGCTTCTTTCTGCACTCAGCCTCCCAACACTGTTCTCATCATGAGTGAGGCAGGCCTCTGGGAGAGGTGTGGCTGCCTCTCCACCCACACTATGGGTGGCCCAGGCTGCACACTCCAGGTCTGGGCAGGTCCTGTGGCTGGCAGCTGGAGTCCTTACTCCTCATGAAGCTGCCAGGCAGCCCTCCATCTGCCAGGCACCAGATCTTAGTGCCTCACCCCAATTCCTCCCCCTAGCTCCCCTCCAATATCCTCAGGGTGCCAGGGTTTGCCAGACCCTCCCTTCCCCAACCCTAGAGGAATGAGCCAGAAGCCAATAATATCTGTGAGTCAGTCCCCAGGGCTCATGAAATGAGCACTGATCATGGAGGGTAGCAATGCTGTCCAGCCCCGGCCCCACAGGGCTTAGGGCAGTCACAATGAGCCAGATGGCCCTGCCCAGGCCTGGTAGACCCAACTGGACTCTGCTCTGGGGCCTTCACCCCACCCCTGGCGTGCTCACAGTCCAGCGCTGGCTGTAAAACATCCTCTATAATGTCCCTTCATGCCTAACTCCTAGCAATTCACCAGCAACCATTCCCCCTGCCTCCCCCTGCCCAGCCAGCTCACCCATACTTCCTTCAAAGCCTTCTTTCTGAGTGCAGAGTCCAGAAATCCTCAGGTCTACCCTGGGTCAGTTCGCCAGGAACCTGGGTAACCCAGACATCTCCAGAATTCCCACGCTTTTCCTAGGACCTTTCCAACTCCATGGGCCCCACCATTTCCTCTCCTGTCCAGTCCTCCCACCAGCCCGCCTTCATCTCTGGCATCCCTACCTCTCAGTCTCATAGACCCATCCTCCCTCCAAATTCCAGCTTCCCTCATCTGATCATCAGTGCAGCAGGTCCTCTACCCTGCAGGTCCCTCCAGACCACCCCTTCTCCCCATCCTCGGGTTCCCGGGAATTGCCATCCCGGAATTCTCTTGGCAGAGCCCACAGTGCACTTGATACTCTACCCCCAACAATTCCCTTCTGCCTCTCATTCTCTAGCGGCCTGGAACTCCTCCTCCTTTTTTGGAACCCATCAAGAACTCCCCATTACCTCTAGAACTCCTCCAGTCCGGGGGAACCCCCCACCCACCACCTAATCCACTGCACTCCCCAGAACTCCCCTAGTTCTGCACCCAAAGAATCCCACTTCTCTCCAGAGGTCCCCTGTGCTGCCTCGCGTCCCCACAACTCCCACTGCTCCCCGCGCCCCCTGCAGCACCCCACTTCTACCCTAGGACGCCAGCCCGCTCACCTGCTCCGCTCCGCTCGCTCCGCGCTCTCAGCTACACAATAGGGGGCGGGCCCGCCTCCCGCCGCGGATGCCCCGAGCGCCTCCCGTCGCCCTGGAGACCGCCGGTCCCCTCCCGCGGCGGCCAATTGCAGCCAGCCGAGGCCAAAAGAGGCGGGCGGGACCCCCGCGCCGCCTGGGAGTTGTAGTTTCGGGAGAGGACGACTCGGTGGCGCGTGGGCTTAGGTCGCCCCCTCGTGGAGCTCTGCGCAACCAAACGTGGGAATCGCCACGCGAGCTACAGTGTCCAGGCGGCGCCCAGGGGCCGCAGGAACCTGTCCCTTTCCAGACTCCGCCGCCCAAGGCCCCCTTCGTTGGTAACCCGCCTTCGACTCTCTCCGCTTGCTGCAGGGCGAGCTGCAGAGGCAGCATCGAGGGCTGGAACACGAGCGGGGCGCGGGAGCACGGGGCGGGCTTCTCCGCCCGCCTCCCGGGGGATCCACCCAGGGCCCGGGCTCATCGGATCTCCTACCGCAACCCCATCCCCACCTCCACCCCTTCCCTCACTTGCCGGACTGGAAATACCTGTCTGTGCTGGCGAGCTCCCAGATTAGGCCTGGCGCCTCCCCCGCTTGCCTCGTGTGCAGCTGGAGGAGGCTGCTCTGAGTTTGAGGTGCCAAGCCAACTCCCCTGGCGGCGCCCCGCGCCCAGAGAAATGGGCCCAGAGGGGAGAGATGACTGGCGTCCTGACAACGGAGACTGGAAGGGGAGAAACGAAATAAATGAGCGTTTGCTGAACCCCTGGAGGGTGAGGGACCCTGGACTGGGTACCTTATAATTCTTACGGACTCTACACAGAACCCCTGAGAAGTAACTTTAGTTCCATTTGAAAACAGGCTTAACTACAGGATGCCCCAGGATGCCCCACCTCCACCCACGCAGGACTGTGTTCACATCCCGCTGGACTTCCCTAAACCCACTCCCTCCACAATTTACCTTCTGGCAAAAAGTTATCTTGCCTATCTTCCCCTCAGGGATTTCTACTTCCGCAGTTTGGCACTGCTGTCCCCACCGGGTTTAAGCAGATGTCTATCCCATCCTCCCCATCCTAGCGGCTCCTCCGGAAGCTCTCTGCTATCACTAGTGTCTGAAGTACTATGGACTCACTCTGGGTATGGCAGGCCTCACTTTCGTGGAATCATCCTGCAAGGTCAGAATGGCTGTGAGCAGCCCTTTGCACCAGCATCCCTGTCAGGATGTCCCTCCAGGAGGTGATCTAATCCCTATCTGAGCACAGTGTGGGCCAGGAGCCCAGCGTTCCTGCGATGGGCACTCCATCCTCAGTAAGCATTTCTTCCGGCTAGAAAACTCTGAGTGCTTTCTGTCTCAGATGGAATGGAAGAGCTGCTGGGGAAAAGGACACAGGAGCAGGGGCGCGGTCTCTCCTCCCACCCCAACAGCAGAGGCTCCCCAAGTAGCATCTCTATGTGCCGCTCTCTTGTGTACTGGAATTACAATGCCCTAATGGTTGGTCCGATTCTAGTGACGACCTGTGAGTGGGCACCGCGCCAAGGCCAGGTAGAAAAATTAGACAAAAGGAAGCCTTTTTGGCTGCTTCTCTCCTCCCCCGACAGAGGGACAGATCTTCCTGGCCAGGAGAGAAATAGCCCCTCCTCTGGTTTCATTTCTGCTCTTGGAAGCAGTTTCTGAAAGCCAGTCTCATTTGGACATTAAAATAACTTTTTGTAGAGTGAGATTTTAAATGGTCTTCAATTTTCAAAAAATGTTCGTTTTTTGGAAGTTTATTTGATAAGTTTTATTATTATTGTATCTTCAGCTGATTAAAATGTACCTTGTATTGTGGTGTGTGTTGCCTGCTTCTCTAATCTGCACTACACCTGTCTGTCATTTGATCACAGCCTGTGTTTTGATGTTTTTTTGTTTTTTGTTTTTTTGTGGGAAAAGGAACCTGGCCCCGTAACTTGTGCCTTCCCCAGCCCCAGAAGTGAAAGTTGATTTTAAAAAAAAAAAAAAAATATATATATATATATATATATATATATATATATATATATATGGTGTCAAAAATTCTAATCTGAAGATTTTCCACATGCATTCCTTTGACTGTAGTAATTTCTTTCCGGGAAAGTTTATTCTTCTGACTACACCACTTAACCTAAGTATCAGCCATTTCAACTTGCCGGCGAGCATATCAGAAATGGTAACTTCAGAGACTCTCCTTACCATGAACACCAGCCCTCTTACCATATTAGAAAAGAAGCATGATCTCTCATAGAGCCATTAGCTGTGTGTGTATCTGTCTTCTGTCCCACTGTGACACTAAGCTCCATGAGAGTGTGGATCTTGTCACCCCTAATTTCCCCAGGTCCCAAGTCTACTGGAGGAGTTGCTGCCTGCCTCTCTAACCTGCACTATACCTGTCTGTCATTTGATCACCGCCTGTGGCCTAGAGCATCGTGTTTGTCACACTTAGCCCTGACCACATCTTCTGATTGTATCCTTACACTCACCACAGAGTCCTTTAGTGCAGGCAATGTGTATTCTGTCTCTCCAGTGCTGGCCCCATTCCCTTCCTGGAGTTTCCTATCACCTCTTCACACACTGGGAAGATTTGTAACTTGTGAAATGGTTATCAGATGATTATACCTTGGCTTCTAGCAAAAGAAAAGACCTGGGAACTTTCTTAGATGCAACATTTTTGGGGTTTCCTCTTCCCCTTTCTAGGTGTTCTAGACTGCTTAGGGGGCTCATCCCTTCTCTGTTCAGAGCCTGAATGTGAGAAGAGACTTTGTCAGCTCCAGGGAGATCCCAGGGCCAGCCGTGCAGGGACCATTCTCACTCCTTCATTTACTCTGTGGGGACCGGATTCTGAAACACACGAGAAGTGTGAAGTGGTCTGTGTGTAAGCTGGGCTCCAGTAACTGTTTTTCCGGGTACGTAGTCTGCAGCCCTGCAGTGAGGGCTCCTAGGGAAGTTATAAAAGGGGTAAGAGGCTGAGGGCCTCAGATCTTTTTATTAACGAAACTTTTTAGGGCCTCAAAGAGGCAGAGAGAGCAAGTCTCAGTCTAGACTGCCTTCCAGAGGGACCAGGCTCTGGCCCTTACAGAGCATGGATGATCCATTTGCCAGTCTTACACATGCTTTGGAGACTGGTTTCAACTTCAGCATCTCTTACCCAAGTCCGAGGGGCTCCATGTCCTGCACAGATACCTAGGGAGACTCTGTCTCTGGGCTTCTAGTCCTGCTCCATTCTGCTTTCAGAGCTTTTTACTACGTTGTTGTAGGCCACAAGTCCTATTTTACTAAAAACAAAGTGTCCCCGATTCTCTGATACATCACCTTGCACCCTTTCCTGGCTCACATTCCTTTTCTTGGAAGACACTTTGGAAATCAGCATCCTTTTCGTCAGAGACAAGAGGGACAGAGGAGGACCACAAGGATGCCAGGCATGTCTCCCACCACGTGGCCCTCTCTCTACCTCTTGGAATTCTCAGTGTTCCCAGCCCAGCCCACCTTGATGGGATCTAAGGGGCTTGTTGAGGTGTATCTCTGCGAGACCTGCGAGCATCTGTGCCTGCCTCTTCCTTTAAGCACCTGTTTCTTGTGGAAATGACCTGTGGCTCAATAGATGTCCCAGGCCAGAGGCAAGTGGCAGAGCAAAGCCAGGCATCCTGAGATCTCTCTCAGTTCTCTCCCACCACATCCTACACCATCTCTATCACCTGCTGTGTGAATGACATCCAGAAGTTTGGTATGTGGAGAAGGATGGAGATGGGCAGGGAGAGATGAGGATAGAGGAGCAATTGCCTTTAATCACTGGCTGAGGGAAACATTAAGAACCTAAATGGAGAACATGTGCCAGGAGTGGAGACTGGGCATTAGCTCAAGGTAAAATTCCAGGAGAACACAGAGACATGCAAATCTACAGAAAAGGGACAGATAGGACAGCAGTATCAACCACATTCAAGGGTTCAAGATCTCAACTACTGATCCAGTATAGTTGTTGCCTCTTTGAGAGAGGCACCAGAGACCCAGAGCAACTAGTGTCAAGGAGAAGAGAGGTCACCAGGTCAGACTTCGATCCAGAGCTGGACTGAACTAGGGAGGGTCCTTGCCATCCCCCTGGGATGCCTTCTAGATCTGGGTAAGGAAGATGGAGTAGTTAAATAAATCTATCCACCAGAATGGGAACAGGGAGAGAAGAATAGAAGAAGCTTAGGAATAATACTGCTTTTCTGCAGAACTGAAGAGCCTGAAATGCACTCATTTAAGACTTGCAAGTTTTGTTAGGTTAAGATTTGTTCACTGGTCTCCTTTAAACATACAGCTAAGTGCAAGTGAGGAAGGCATAGGTGGAGTAAAAGCAAAACCCACCTCACTCTGAGTGGGTCCTTACGCTCATTCTGCTCCCCAGAGGCAGGCCTGAAAGGGCTGTGGGCTTGGAGGTGGATGCCTGGATGGAAGGAGGTAAGGAGCGGGTTTTGCCAGAACTGTCCAGTGAGATAGAGAACCAGACATAGCTCCTCCAGAGCAGTGGGCACTTGACTTTATTCCTACATGGTCTTCCCTGAGGGAGGGGAGGCCCTTTGACATCCATTCCTGAGTTGGCCCTCTGCCCCTGAGGCGGGATGGCTCCCTGTGGGCTGAAAGAGGCAAAATTCAAGATGGAAGCTCCCAGAGCGCAGTCAGGCTGGGCTGCAGTCGGGCTTCCTCTTCTTCCTCAGTTTAATTCTGTTCCTCTTGAGTTTCCTTGTCCTTGGCAAGTCACTTTTTTTTTTAACTCGGGTGACCCAGAGCCCCACAGCTAGAATTATCAAGAGCACGAGGAGGAGCAATCCCTTGGCTAGGAGACAGGAGGACACTGAGGGCATCTCGAGATAGCCAGGATCTGGGAAAGAAGAAGGGCGGGAAAAGGGCTCATCAGAGGGAGCAGTAAGTTAAGATTAGGGACAGAGAGTTCTACTAAGGAGCTGTCACACTTGTAACGAGTTGATGTCTTTATCTTTGGAAACATTCTACCCAGAAGCTCAGGAACTGAGATCTGGGAGCAATCTTAAGCCAAGAATAAGAAGAGAACTTTGGAAAGTGGGTTCCCTTCTCAAGCCAGGTGACAAGCCTCTGTGGAGGGGGATTAGATTCTGGACTCCATGTACTCCCCTAAGAAGGGAGGGCTGGAGAGAGATAGAGGTAGCATAGCTCTTGTGCGAGCTCAGAGCTTTCCTCTGGGGTGCTGGTACCTGCACAGAAGGCCCCCGCAAGAATGGGATGAGAATGGATGCTGCTGACAGGGTTGCTAGCCTTGCAGATGTAGGGAAGGACTTTGTCCCCAGGCCTCCAGGATGTTCTAAGGACAGAGCCTTCCTGGACTGCATCGGCACTGTCCCCCAAGGCGAGCCAGCTATAGTTGACATTCATGCCTGCTCTCTCCACAGAACACAGCAGGGATATATTACAGGCACCTTCCCCAGGGATCTCAAAGTTCACAGCAACTCGGGGCTGCGACAGCCGTCCTAGATGGGCAGAAACACAAAGACCCACTGAACAGTCTAGGAATTAAGTCTGTTCTTCTAAACTTCTCGACTACTGGTGCTGCTTTGAGGATTCCTTCACCTAAACAAATCAGCGAAACTAAACACAAATCGACCATCAGAACACTTGATTCTAAGGTCCCCGGGGCACCTTCTAAGGTGATAGAGTTGCCCCTGACCTCTTCTCCCCTTTATGTTTTCACTGTCTTACTTTTTTTTTTTTTTAGACAGTCTCACTATGCAGTTCAGGTTGGCCTTGAACTCACAGCAATCCTCCTGCCTCAGCCTACCAAGTGCTGGGATGACAGGCATTCACCACTGCCACACCCAGCTCTCTCCCTTACTTTTGTACCCCATCTTCTCCCAAGCCCTCTTCTGTTTCCTTGGTCCCACAAAATGCTACTGTCCCTTCCAAAGCCCTTTATATATATATATATATATATATATATATTTTTTTTTTTAATCGGTACCGGGGATCAAACTCACGACCATGCGCTTGCAAGATAGGCATTTATGCCACTGAGCTAAATTCCCAGCCCGTAGCCTTTTATATTTTCATCAGCATCTCTACAAGGTTCAAGGTAGATTTGATGTGACAGGTAGGGAGAAGAAATATGGGTTCAAGCCAACAGAAGATATTGACAGCTAACCCTCAGATGGCACAAGAGGATAAAAGACTCAAGAATGGAGTTGCTTTCATCCCCAGGATGCATAGTCTCACTGGGGCAGAAAGCCCCTTAGAAACTATACATGAAACTTCCATCCTCTCTCTGCATTGGACACCTCCCCAAGAACTGCCCAGTACACAGTGCCCAGTGCCTCCTTACTCCCCCTCACAGTACTGTTGCTGAGCTCAGAGAGCAACCTGGGCACACCAGACACCACTTGCCTTCTAATCCTGGGCCTCACACCATAATTCTGAGTTCTAAGACCCCAACTCCATGGCATGGGAAACTCAGGAGAGCTCAAACAAGCCAATCTGATGGATCCCCCAGTGTAAACTCACGGTAGACACACAGGTTGTAGCGCTGCGTGGTGGAGAGCTGGGATGTCCGCAGATTGACTTGAACTTGGTAAAGCCCTGAGTCTTTCCAGCTCACATTGCTGATGTGCAGAGAATAGCTGGGATCCAGGAAGCTCACTCGGCCCTCATAGTGAGGGTCGACCACCATAACACTAGCCGGCTGTCCTTTCTTCCCTGGCACCACTGTGGCAAGTCTTTTCCGGGAGAACCAGACAATGCTCTCAACTTCTTCATCAGGTGGTATTTCCAGGGGGAGGCTGATGGGCTCCTGAAGGGCTGCAACTACTTCCTCAGGCGCCGCACTGTCTCCAGAGTATCCTATGGCTGCAGATGTGGGAAGAAAGGAGAAAAAATCCGGCTGGTGTCTCTGGGATTGTGAGCCTGGCAGCACGAGCTGTGGCTCCACCTCAGATGAGCCTACACTGTACCCGCCTCCAGCTGCCTCTTCTGACTCTAGATCTCTGATATACCTGAGTTGAGGACCTGCAGGGCTGGATTCCATCTGTCTCTTCACTCTCCAAATTTTTCCTTGGCCTTTGTCACCCTGCCACTGCTACCTCTCCCAGATGTCTTCCTCTCTTGGTCCTTCCCTGAAGCCATACCTGGTCTCTCAGACCCCAGAAAAGCTGAAACATTCACCCCCAAAGGGTTCTGCTACCTCCAACATCCAGCAGGAGCAAAGAAGTGAGGGGAAGAAGACAGTCCTGTGCAGGAGGGGGCAGACACTCACCTTCCTGGAGCAGCAGGAGAAGGAACAGCCAAGGAAAGGTCCCCGTGGCAGCAGCTAGTCCCAGGAAGAGTGACATGGCCCTTTTTCTTGGTTGAGGAGAAGACAAGCTGTTAGGCTCCTAGGGAGAGTAACTGGTTGGCAGCCCAGAGGAGAAGGAAATAATGCTCAGCCTGACTTCCTCCATCCTCATTAAGCCCCTCCCTGTGCCTCATGGAAAGAGCTCTCTCTTTGAGCCTGGGTGTTGAAATGGCTTGTCCACTGGCTGGTGTTATCCATGCACCTCACCTCACCTCAAATCCCACTCCCCAATGAAGACTTTCTATACTCCCTGCACTCCCAGACTCCACACCTGGCACAAGACTCAGTCTCTTAAAATGTCCCTCACTTGCCAGCATGCTCTGCTGCAGCTCTCTCTCTCTCTCTCTCTCTCTCTCTCTCTCTCTCTCTCTCTCTCATAGTTACTATGATCACTTGCTATTACAAACATCTTTATCTTCCCCTGTAGATTCCATCTCTTAGTTCCTGTTTTGTAGCTCTCACTGTCACTGAGCCCTGCAAGACACAAGTGAGCATTCAATTGATGTTTTTAGAATGAATGGATGAAGAAGCCAAGTATGGTTCCATGAGACATAATATGAGCAGGGATGTTGATCTTCTTCAAACAACCTATTTGGACCAAGGGTGATCTAAGTTGTTAATATTATGGAAAAACTTTATACAGTTCTGTGGGAAAATGATATTGATCAAGGCTATAGAAAATCAGATTCCAGAAGAAATCAAAGATCAGGATAAGAAAAGGCTTTCTGGGTCAGCTCCATTCATGGACTGCAGAAGGAGCGAATCAGACCTCACCAGGAGGTGATTCTTACCTGGAAAACAGCACTATGCGAGGGCCGCTGCCAGAGTGGGGACAGTCAGACCCAAGCTTCTTTTGGAGAGTCAGCAACATTCATAGACTGTGGGAGGAGAAAACAAGGCCTTACCATGAAGTGATCCCCACCTAGAAACCATATCATTTTCATTGTTTTGTTGGGTTGGGTTTTATTCTCTTTTGTTTTGTTTGATTATGTTAAATCTGATGGCATGAGCAGTCATTTAAAAGATAGCAAGACATATTGTGGTAGCCATTTCGGATTTACTATTGGTTTGGTTTTTTTTTTTTTTAATTTTATTTTGAAAGTGGTAAAATACAACAGAACAAGACAGAATAAAGCCAACTAAGATCACACAGTGAGATTGGTACAGAACTTCACAGCAGATTACCGGGATAACAGTAATAGGTATCACAGTATATTTCATTATCTTTATAATAGTTGTTCTTTCAATCACATATATCAAAATGAGATGAAATACAGAACATTATAGAACTTATCAAAACAGAATATTGAATAGAGCAGTACCATTAATCAGAATAGAGCAAAACAGTAATAAAAATATTTGCCTTCAAAGAGATGGTAGAAGGAAGTACCCCTTATTTGCTATGGTCAGTCTCCCAGGAGACGCTTAGATTTCTGGTTCCCATTTGCTAATGGCGGGCGGGGTGGGGACAGGAGAAGTGGGGTAGGGGAAGTGGGATGTTTGACTCTAGGCCGTGCATCAGTAGGTTCACTATTGCTTAGCATGGAGGCAGGCTGGTTGTTTGGTTTCACAGTGTCTTAAGTTCTAACATGGCGTGGATATCAGGAGCTGCTGCTGGTTCTCCCCCTGGAAGGGCCACAGTCCTATTGGTTTGTTTTGAGGTCCTTTATTGCATTCATTGCTTTGTTTTTATTGTTTCCATTCTATTCTGTTATGTTAGATTTTTACTATGCCCAAAGGTATCTGCAGCTATTTTGATGACAACAAAAGGCATTGTTGTAACTATTGTTGATTTAATAAGGTTTTGAAGTCCTGCATCACCTATACTGGCTTATTTTGATTGGTTTTATTCTGTTTTATTTTCCTTGGTTTTATCCTCTTAAAAAAAAAAAAAAAAGAAAAGAAAAGGAAAGACTTCCTGACAGCCAGAGCTGGCCAGGATCAGTATGTTGCCTTGGGCGGTAACTTTTGTCCCTGTGTTCACACTAAAATTAGTCAATCACTTGATTGGGCTGTCTGCAGTGTTTCTGATATCTGATGGATCATCAGACTGGAAAATCTTTATGTTTTTTCTATACTGAAGTCTATGAGTGCATACTGTGATTAGGAAACAAGAGTGCTGTGTCAAAACCATGGTTACAGCAGAGGCAGATATGGTCAGTTCTGGTCCCGTGCCAACATTTCATAACTTTTGATCAACAAATCTAGCATGTGATAAAATAGTTACTGAGCAGCTTCTATGTCCTGCACAGTCTCTTAAGTACAGTTGGCAGTTACCAATAAGTTTAAATTGTAACTCTATGGGGCTCATAGCTAACAACTGACCTTGAACAATAACTAAGAACATGATGAGTCTTACCAAAGGAAAATTGGAAGACCCATAACAAGAAGATGTAGCAAACTTGGAGTCGAGAAGTCAGGAGGAGGGTCAGAGAAGGCTCTTAAGGAGAAATGATATTTAGGCTAAGATCTCAAAGATGAGTAGAATCTGCTAAGTGTAAAAAATGCAGTCATACAGTTTTGTTTATGAATACCCTAGTCCAATCAATCCAATTTTTTATAAAAATAGATCAGGTTTCAGCTTAAGTATGTAACTTATTTAAATTAGTATTCCCATTTATTTAAAAAATAAAACTAGATCAATAATATCACTCTTGGTGTATAGACAAAGAGAATGAAATCAATATGTTAAAGAAATGTCTGCATGGCCAGGTTCACGGTAGCATTATTTACTGTGGCCAAGATATGGGATCAACCTAAGCATTTGTTGATGGGTGAACAAATAAAAATGGTGTGCATAGACACAGTGGAACACTATTCAACTTTAGAAAGAAAGATATCTTGTCATTGTAACCACATAGAGGAACTCAGAGGACATTATGATAAGTGAACCAAAACAGGTGCACAAAAGTAGTGTATGATCTCACTTATATGTGGATTCTGAAAACATTAAGCTCATGCAAGTGGAAGTAGAATAGTGATCTCTAGGAACTGGGAGTGGGTGAGTGGGGAGACAGTCATAGAACACAAAATAATTTCGAGAAAATAAGTTCAGGGGATCCATTATACAACACAGTGACTAGAGTTAATGTAGTCTCAGAAATTACCGAGAATAGATTTCAAGTGTTCAAGCCACAAAAAAAAGTGTACAAAATAATACCCACATTAATTAGCTTGATTTAGTTATTTCACAATGAATATGTATTTTAAAACACTATGTTGTACATAATAAATAGCTACAAATTTTGTCAACTAAAAAAAAACTAAAACTAAGGAAAAAAATTTAAAAAACAAGCTCATGGGCACAATGTCCCGGGTCTAAAGGGTAAATGTACTGGTTAGGTTCTCCGAGTAGCAGATGCTGGAGTTAGGAGTATAAGAGGCTTATGTGGGGTGTGTGGGCTGGGGAGAGTTCTGCTTGTCACAGATAAACAGGCAAGGGAGCAGAGAGTGCTTCAGACCATGATGCAAATTCCACCAATGCTGCCAACTCACAGGGAGCTCTGGCATGAAGTTTTCCCAGCACAGGAAACCTGTGTTAGGCAGAAACATCCAGGCACAAAGTCCTCCCTGTGTGGGACCACAGCATGTGATGATAGCCACACCGTGAGCAGTTACTGGCCTGCCAGGAAGAGCTCGGACCCTGACTATGTGTAGACTGTTATTCCCTGGTACCTGTTGCAGCCGAAGGTAAGTTTTCTCTTGGAGAGCTGAGGGGCACCTCAGCTGCCATTGGGTACGCTGACAGCCAGGAGATACCTACACTCAGTTAAATTTGTCTCCATGAATAAGCATAAACAGGAGGAAAATGATTTCTACTTCCAGTCCTCAGTGGCCCTCCAAGTCCAGTGTGGAAAATGTCATTTTTCACATGATCTTCAAGTCTAAGACTTTTCCTACCTCAGAATTGAGCTCCAAATGCAGCTTCACTTCTGTCTCTCACTGTCTCTTTGATCTTACTCTCTGCAAAGGTTTTCTCTGCTTATAAAGAAAACGAGGGCCGTGGTTTCTGGTGTCTGTTCAGGAATGAGAACTCCCTGTCCCGTTTAATTTGGGAAATTCCACATTTAATTTACAATCATAGGACCTCCCCTTCCCCTCGTTGGTATCTGATCAAGGCTGGGAGCCTGCAGTGAGGAAGGGAAGGCCTCTCTGCTCTCCACTCATTCTCTCTCTCCTGGTATCACTTCTCTACTGTCTCCTCAGTGCACCAATTGTCCGTACCTGGCTAAGTGTCTTTGTACTCTGTAACCCTGTGTTGTAGTCAGGGGTTGTACACAGAGAACAATTCAGGTCAGGACATGGAGTTTATAATATTTTTATAATGGTCACTGAAAGTTAACACAGGAGAATGCAGGAAATCTATCCGCAACACCAACGACATAGATTATTTAAGTCAAGAGCCTAAACCCCACAGCAATGTACCACATGAGTCCAGATAAAAACCCAGAGCTCAGGACAATGCCTCCACGAGTCCAACTGGAAGTCCAGGGCCCACAAGAAGGACTCACGCCAGTCTCTTTTACGGATTCGTGCTGGGAAGACCCAAGGGTCAGCGGTGGAAGCCAGAAAGTCCATGCCAGCAGGATGAAGGAGCTGTGCTAGTGGGATGAGGGTTCTACACTGGAGCTGAGAAGTCACACTCACAACAAAGAGCAGGGCTGCCTGAAAGGAACCACAGCTGTCCTCAGCGACACGGAGGCCCCGAGCTCCTCCGACGACAAGCACAGTCGGGAACGTGCCAGGAAGCAGTGTGACGAGTTCATCCTGGAGACCAAGCAGCACATGTCTTCCCCTCCAGAGCCAGGAAGCAGTGCTCAATGTGAGGACCAAAGCTTCTCCAGGAGAACCAACAGCTCAGACAGCAACTCATAGGAGAACCAACAATGCCTCCATAACGTCTCAATCCTTCTCTACACCTCTCTTCTTCTCCACCTATTTATCCTGGCAACCCTTCTCAGGTGGAGCATCTTCTCTCAACGCATGCTGATGTAATCCAGCTGGCGTTAAGTTGACCACTAGTTATCAAATCATAACACCCTGCCACCAGTACCTGAGCATCTGGCCACACACTTCTAGTCCCCACCCCACCCACTCCTATTACCCCTGTTTCACAACACCCAGGACAAACACCCAGATTGGTCCCACAGGTGGCCCTCAGTTCCTCCCTCTCTTCCTCTTCTTTATCAACATCTTCTAGTACTGAGTCTGAACCCAAGGCCATCACACTGAGCCACATCCCCAGCCCTGTGTAATTTTTTATTTTGAGACATGGTCTCACTAAATCGCCCAGGCACCCAGCCTGCTAGTGTTGGGATTACAAGTTTGAACTACCATGCCTACCTCCATAACACTCTCGAAGTCTTCCTCATCTACCTTGTGATCTGAGGTAACATCGCTTATCCTTTGGAGAAGATGTGCAGACTCAATAAGGCAACAGCTATTCCCAAACCAGTCTCCCAATTACCCTCTCTCAATACTTCCTTCATGGATGAGGGGTCTCCAAGAGCAGTGACACAGGTTTTCCATAATTGTTGCCATAAATTCTTCAAGGAGACACGTCCCACACACTATCTTTGATTTCCTGATACCTATCACCTATCACATTGTCAGCTCAGTGAATCCAAGCAGGGAGAGATCTATTCTAACACCTTGCTTACAGCACTCATTTAAGATTCCCTGTAGTCTAGCTTGTTCACCACCTGATTTCTGAACTGCAGATTTATAACTGAGTCCCCCCTGCAATTTACATCCTGGGCAAGCTCCGCTTCCTGGATTTTTCTGCAAAGTGGGAGGTCACTCAATGCAAGCACAGGAGTGGCTGGATATGAGGGTAGGAGGGTGGAGTACTGCGTTGGTACATTAATGTCGCAGACTCCTTGCCTGTCTGTGGGACAGCTCTGAC